GAGAGGGAGAGAGAGATAGAAACATCAGTGATGAGAGAGAATCATGGATTGGTTGCTTCCCAACCGCTGTCCAATTTTTGTATGTACCTCCATGTGTCAGAAACCCCTGTCCCTTTCATCACACAGGATCTCACACCCTCCCTTTCTCACGCGTTCCTGGTGTGACGTGTGTGTGTGTATGTGAGTGTGTGTGTGTGTGTGTGTGTGTGTGTGAGACAGCTTCTGTAATTGCATTATCGGCACTCTTGCTGTTCGGACACTTTTTCATTTTACATTGTGCTGCCGTTAAGATCAGTGTGGGTGCATCTTTTTGGACTTCCTTGCTTAGAAATTTCCGATGCGTTTCAGATTTGGCACCGTTAGATCAAATTAACAGCGAGGCCCCACATGCAGAGTGGGTTTCTGGGCCCTGAGTCACGTGGATGGGTTAGTCTCACACAGAGGGACAGGTGTTCCTTGTCCCTGGTGCCCGGGGGGAAGTGGGGGCCTGTGGGTGGGGGTGGGAGCAGGCCCTGGGAGGATGCGTGGGGAGTGGCCGTGTACCATCCACTTGGCCCGAATGCAGGCAGCGGGAGGGCAGGGTGTGGTGTGGGAAGGGGTGAGAGTGTGAGAACACAAGTGAGAAGCAAAGACCCACGAGGGATGGGAGCTGGGGCCAGGGAGCCGCGCTGTGAGCAGCTGGGGTGGGAGCTGGGGCCAGGGAGCCGCGCTGTGAGCAGCTGGGGTGGGAGCTGGGGCCAGGGAGCCGCGCTGTGAGCAGCTGGGGTTGAGACCTGGGGCCCCGTGGGCCCTGGAACTCTCCCCCTCTGCGTGGCAGACGGAATCTCGGTGGCTAAGGCAGTGAAGGAGGAGGGCGCTGTAGTCCGCTGACCTGGCCGTTTGGAAGGGATGTGGGAGGTGAGAGTGCTCGTGAGGGGAGGATGCAGGTCTGGGGAGCGCATGGCAGTGAAGCAGCAGATTGAGCGCCCCGCCTGCCGCAGACCTCTTACACAGGAGACGCAGGAGCTGGCGTGGTGGTGGGCGCTCGCAGTCTCTCCCGCTGTGGGACCAGGAGGGGCAGGGGACGCTGAGTGTGTGTGTGTGTGTGTGTGTGTGTGGGGGGGGGGGTTCTGTTGCAGGAAGCCCACGTGGCCTGGGAGTGGCCTGGGTCCATCCTCCTCCCATCTGGGCACTGTGTCTGCTTTGTCTGCCACAGTCCTCCTGTCCCACAGTCTGTGTCCCCGAGGCGATCATCCGCAGTCCTTCCCGGATGCTCTTCTCCCGGGGTCTTGCTGGGCCTCACGGGTGTGACTGGTCCCAGTGCCCAGAAGAGCTTCTCGAGGAGCCGCGAGATCGGCTGGGGCTTTCTGGTCGGGTCGCGTGGTGTCGCGCAGACTTGTCTCCGTGTGGATGCGTGGGAGTGTGGGCTGCTTTTGTTTTGTGAAAGCGTTTCCTCCACAGCAGTCACTTGACCTTGTTTCTCTCTCCTTCTGTCTTGACAGTGTGTCCTATTCGGTGCACGTGTCTGAAGATTACCCAGGTATGGTTTTCTCCTTTTAACTTTTACCACAAATGCTTACGTCATGGTTCCTCTGTGTATGTCTTTCTTCTGGAGGTGTCCTGCCTGTCACTGTGTTTGGGGGGTGTTGGCAGGGGCCACAGAGAGGCACCGGAGCAGTCTGCTGATGCCTGTGAGGGCCTGTCCTCACCAGGATGCCCTTCGGGGTCCAGACAGTCCCCCTGGAAAGAGGGTCCTGGGCCCCGGATGGCCTCAGCCTCAGCATTCGCCTCCTTGCAATGAACGTAAACATTTTAAAACCTGGTTCAGCTGTTGGTTTGGGAGCATAGTTTGACTTTTCACTATTAAAAATCAGAAGTAACGGTGTCACAGCCAAAGTGATGGTAGTGGCTAAACATAATAAACCTCCCCATCTCTCGGAGCAGACACACACGCAGTTCTCACAGCACTCCGGGGCCATGGTCCCCATACTCCCCCACTTTGCAGATGGATGGCGGCCTGGGAGTGAGAGGAGGAGCTGGGATGGGACCCAGTAACCCAGGGCCGTGGGTGCCCTGCAGGAGGCTCCTCCACAGGCACGGCTGCGCTCAGTGTGTCCGTCCTGACACGCATGACCAGGCCCACACGGGCTTGCCCCCAGAGCCAGGTTGTAAGAGCCCGCAGACCCCTTTTCCAGAAAGCAAACAAGTGTCTTCCTGTGGTCAGCCGGCTCTCTGGCTCCCCGTCATCCCAGCAGAGCCCGCCACGCAGGCGCTGACACTCTGGTGATGTGGGGATGTCAGCAAGATGCTGCTCACCAGTGACACCCAGACTGCTGTCTGGAGCAGGGGCCAAAGCAAGCACTGCCGATGTGGCATGGATCACAGGACTGGATTCGTTTACCCTAGGGCCGTGGTCGGCAAACTGCAGCTCGCGAGCCACATGCTGCTCTTTGGCCCCTTGAGTGTGGCTCTTCCACAAAATACCATGGCCTGGGCGAGTCTATTGGGAAGAAGTGGTGTTAGAAGTTTAAGTTTAAAACATTTGGCTCTCCAAAGAAATTTCAATTGTTGTGCTGTTGATATTTGGCTCTGTGGACTCATGAGTTTGCCGACCACTGGCCTAGTAAAAAGGGCATAATGGAAGAATTGAATGCAAAGAACACCGATTCTAACTGCCCGTGTTTCACGTACGCAGGGTGGGGCCAACGTGGGCGTACAGTGGTGAGAATGGAAAATAAGGCGACACGTAAGGATACAAGCGTACACCCTGTGCTTCGCATACTCTCACTGTACACCGGCTTTTGCCCACGCTGTGTGGATCTGTTCCACTCCAGCGTTCTTACCGAGCACAGTCAGATGTTTAACAACGTCACTGGTGTCATCTGTCAGGGCCATACATTGGAAACAAAATTCCACTTCCCTTCCAAACCCAGACATCTTATTCACAGACTGTGTGATTGGGATCACACTTTTCCAGTATAAAAGGACCAGGTTGATATAAGTAACTTTGGTGATATATACTTTGAGTATTTTAACAAAATAGTTTAAGTTTATAATGTGTAGGAGGATGTTGTGAAACTTATTTTCTTAGCATGTGCATTTTGAATTTTAATCCTGTAAGATCCAAGTCACCTTTAAAAATTTTGTAAATCATTAACTCCTTTCTGAAAACAGGAGATACTTTATGTATTGTATTACCTTTTGTTTGGTATGATCTCCATTTTTTGAGCATAGTTATTCTATCTATTGTACAAATGTCACAAGGGGAGTTACATATTATTAAAGATAAGCCCATTTTTAAATAGTCATATAAAAAGTATTCTGGGAAGATTGTAGTGGAAGAACCAAGGGAAGATATATTTATAAAGAAAAAATATTTTTTTTGTAGATGATTTTGCAATCAGCCCTTATGTATCATGATATAGAATGTTTTTGGTGCTAAATGTTTGCTAAGCGTTTTAGGAAATTAAAAGCCCCACTGCTTGTGGTAAACATTATATATAATTATTGTGCCTCTCACCTGAGGCAGCCATGAGCGGTGCAGGACTTTATTGCAAGGGATAGAAACGATGCCACAATCCAACCCCAACTTGGAGGCATGAAGTCTCCGTGGCACAGGAAAGGTGGCGGAAGATGCCTGCCATAAACCGAGGGAACCAGATGTTCAGCTCCCTCTTGTGGCCAAATGGAACCCCAATACAGAACATTGGAAACACAATATTGGAAACACAATATAGAAAAATTGAAATTGAAAATAAAGCATTGGTTTTCATTTGTGCTTTTTAAAAATGGAATTCCTTTCTTGGGGCAGTTTGTAGTGAACTTCCAATATAATTTCATTCATAAAAAGAAAAACTGCATACATATTGCCCACAAATGGAGGGATCCGTGTATTCTGGGGTGGAGTTTGAATTGGCCCATGCAGCCAGTACACTGTATGTGCAGTATTTTCATACACATAATGGAACTGACTTCACATGTCAGTCTTTGTAGGGACAGAGCTGTCAGGACATATACCTGAAGAAGTGAAGTTCAGTAGTATTTCCTAAGGCCGTGCCCTTCGGTGGTAAAACCAAGCCTGTAATTAAGCTTTGATTCCCATTCGTACTGGAGAATTAGTCGTCGTATTTCCATGAAGCTTCCTTTAAAACACATATCAGTATGGTAATATTTTCCCAATCATTAAATTTTAATCTACATTTACTTGCATTATGAGTACAGTAAATGTGCTTGATATCTCAGGTAGATGACATCATTTAAAACTTATATGTTTGCTTTTCCTTTCCACTACCCAGACCTGTACTTCTCCTTCTCCCTTGGTGAGGACATCCAGAATGATGTTTAGTAACAGATGTGAGTGTTGGCAGCTTTGTGTCTCTTCTCCGAATTAGGGAGTGTGCTTGCAATTGCTTTCTTTCAGAGAAGGAAGTATTCCTTTCCTCACTTATCACGCTTTCTTTTTTTCTTTTTTTTTTTTTAGTATTAAATTTTTATCAACTTCTTGTTTGGCATTTACTGAGATATCCTATATGCTTTCTCCTTTGAATAACAAGATGACACGTTATATTAGTAGATATCTTAATATGGCTCTATAAGAATTATGTGCATTTTGTCATGTACTTTATTAAAGACTTCAAAATGATAAAGGAATTAAACTTTTTTTTTTTTCATTTGCATTTGCTAGAACTTGCAAGCAAATCTTCCTGAGTCTGGTATGCTTTGAAGGGTGGTTCTAGGGCAGTTGTCTTCGTTTTCTGCCATGATTGGTCATTGATTGGTTCTGTTTTTCTGTTTCTTCATCATTTTTTAAACAATTGTTCTTGAAAGCCTACTGTGTTGGTGAAATGTCCATGTTTTTTAGCATGCAGTCTATACATCTAAAGTCTCCCTCATCTCTGCCTTTATTTCTTCTTCCTCTTGTTTTATGTTTGTTCTTGTCTCCCCCACCCCCCCCTAATTTCCCTCAGGCACTCCCCACTGATTTCCCCCCGTCCCCTTTCCTGGGTTATATGGCTCAATGATTAGCTCATCATCTAAGTTTAAAAATAGGGACTTTGCTTTTCCACATTTGTGGAAATGTGTCAGCGGATTCCTTCAAATTCAGGTTTGTGCCACCCCGTTTATTTTTTAAGAACAGATTTGTCGTTTTATAATATTAATATAGTAAGTAATCTGTGCCATGTATTGAGACTCCTTTCATAGTTTGCTTTAGAGAAAATGAGCACTGAGGGAGTCTTTGTTGAGTCTCAGGTGTACATAACAGCATGTCAATGAGTGGAATACTAAATGCTATGCTGGCTCTTCAAGACACAGGGAAGAAGCAGAGCAGCCTCTGGTTCACCATCTTCTCGGTGGAGTCTCCATGGGAGCTTGTGTTCAGGAGGTAGATGTAAGTCACAGGTGACGGGTTTGCTATAGCAGGACCGCAGACTCTTCCTCATCACCCTCTCCCTCTAGGGTGATGGATTCTTTCGTCCCTGTTATACGTTCTACAGGGAATTGCAATCGTTGAGGGACAATATTTGCTACTAAAGACTTAAAGCATTGATTTTTGGATCCAGTCAGTTTCACCACTGCTAACTGTAGCATTAATATTTTACTTACTTACATAATTTCTCTGGGTCTTGGTTTCCTCATCTTTAAAAGAGGGACAATACATTGTCCGGCATTATCTTGTTTGCATAAAAAATACACTGGCCTAGCACACACAAATGCAAATTTTGTTATAGCAGTTACACCTCATTGGGAAACTTGGGTTCTGATCAAGCTAAAAAATAAAATGAAATAAAATAAAATAAAGTAGGGATAATAATTGTTTGGCTTGGGGGTTGACCTGAATATTACATCTTATATTCAGGGGAAATATTCATATTATAACAACCGTGTAATTTCATTTAGAATTATTTCTCCTAGATGGGAGATGAATGATGGAATGACTTGGCCTAATGATGCTGCAGTTGAAATAAAATAAAAGCAATCATTTAAGTGATCCTTTTCCATGACCCCCTCTTGTCCGTGTACATCCGGGTCCTGCTCCCATGGTCTGGGGGGAGGGGAGAGAAAATGGTCCTACTCTCAACAGCCTTGATCAAGGATCTGTGGTCCTCAGTACGCATGCACGCCAGAACCTCCCCATCCTCAACAACACCCACACACCCCAGGGCCCCACGCACGCGCCCAGAGCCTAACGCACGCGCCCAGAGCCTAACGCACATGCCCAGAGCCTCACGCACGCCCAAAGCCTCACACACACGCCCAGAGCCTCACGCACATGCCCAGAGCCTCTTGCACGCGCCCAGAGCCTCACGCACATGCCCAGAGCCTCTCGCACGCGCCCAGAGCCTCACGCACACGCCCAGAGCCTCTCGCATGCGCCCAGAGCCTCACCCACACATGCCAGGGCCTCCCGTCCTGGACGACAGTCTGCAGATGAAACAGCTGCAGCTCCCGGGTCACGTGGAGACTGCCATGAAGGGTTTGAGGAGGAAACGTCCTCATTCGCCCCTGGCTTACTGCCACCGGGACCGGCCCGCACCCTCTGCGCCCGCCTTCCCGTCTGCCCGCGGGGTGACGGAGTGACGGTCACAGCGGGGGTGACGGAGTGACGGTCACAGCGGGAGGAGGACAGAGTGACGGTCACAGCGGGAGGAGGACAGAGTGACGGTCACAGCGGGGGTGACGGAGTGACGGTCACAGCGGGAGGAGGACAAAGTGACGGTCACAGCGGGAGGAGGACAGGACGGAGTGACGTCACAGCGGGGGTGATGGAGTGACGGTCACAGCGGGGGTGATGGAGTGACGGTCACAGCGGGGGTGACGGAGTGACGGTCACAGCGGGGGTGACGGAGTGACGGTCACAGCGGGAGGAGGACAAAGTGACGGTCACAGCGGGGGTGACGGAGTGACGGTCACAGCGGGAGGAGGACAAAGTGACGGTCACAGCGGGAGGAGGATGGAGTGACGGTCACAGCGGGAGGAGGACGGAGTGACGGTCACAGCGGGAGGAGGATGGAGTGACGGTCACAGCGGGGGTGATGGAGTGACGGTCACAGCGGGAGGAGGATGGAGTGACGGTCACAGCGGGGGTGACGGAGTGACAGTCACAGCGGGAGGAGGATGGAGTGACGGTCACAGCGGGGGTGACGGAGTGACGGTCACAGCGGGAGGAGGACGGAGTGACGGTCACAGCGGGAGGAGGACGGAGTGACGGTCACAGTGGGAGGAGGACGGAGTGACGGTCACAGCGGGGGTGATGGAGTGACGGTCACAGCGGGGGTGACGGAGTGACGGTCACAGCGGGGGTGACGGAGTGACGGTCACAGCGGGAGGAGGACAAAGTGACGGTCACAGCGGGGGTGATGGAGTGACGGTCACAGCGGGAGGAGGACGGAGTGACGGTCACAGCGGTGGTGACGGAGTGACGGTCACAGCGGGGGTGACGGAGTGACGGTCACAGCGGGAGGAGGACGGAGTGACGGTCACAGCGGTGGTGACGGAGTGACGGTCACAGCGGGGGTGACGGAGTGACGGTCACAGCGGGAGGAGGACAAAGTGACGGTCACAGCGGGGGTGACGGAGTGACGGTCACAGCGGGAGGAGGACAAAGTGACGGTCACAGCGGGGGTGACGGAGTGACGGTCACAGCGGGGGTGACGGAGTGACGGTCACAGCGGGAGGAGGATGGAGTGACGGTCACAGCGTGGTGACGGAGTGACGGTCACAGCGGGAGGAGGACGGAGTGACGGTCACAGCGGGAGGAGGACGGAGTGACGGTCACAGCTGGAGGAGGACAGGACGGAGTGACGGTCACAGCAGGAGGAGGACGGAGTGACGGTCACAGCGGGAGGAGGACGGAGTGACGGTCACAGCTGGAGGAGGATGGAGTGACGGTCACAGCGGGGGTGACGGAGTGACGGTCACAGCGGGGGTGACGGAGTGACGGTCACAGCGGGAGGAGGACAAAGTGACGGTCACAGCGGGGTGACGGAGTGACGGTCACAGCGGGAGGAGGACGGAGTGACGGTCACAGCGGGGTGACGGAGTGACGGTCACAGCGGGGGTGACGGAGTGACGGTCACAGCAGGGTGATGGAGTGATGGTCACAGCGGGAGGAGGACAAAGTGACGGTCACAGCGGGGGTGACGGAGTGACGGTCACAGCAGGGGTGACGGAGTGACGGTCACAGCGGGAGGAGGACGGAGTGACGGTCACAGCGGGAGGAGGATGGAGTGACGGTCACAGCGGGGATGACGGAGTGACGGTCACAGCGGGAGGAGGATGGAGTGACGGTCACAGCGGGAGGAGGATGGAGTGACGGTCACAGCGGGAGGAGGACGGAGTGACGGTCACAGCGGGAGGAGGATGGAGTGACGGTCACAGCGGGGATGACGGAGTGACGGTCACAGCGGGAGGAGGACGGAGAGGGCGAGGTCAGACAGCCGCTCCCCGCGCTGCCTCTGTCCTCTGGCCCTGGGCGGGCGGCCGCGGACGGAGCGAGGCCCAGTGTGAGGGCCTGCCCTTGGGGTTTGGCCTGTTTAGAGGCGATTTCATGTATATTGTCATGGGACCTGAACACGTGGTTGGTTTGCGTAAATTAAGCCAAAAGCAGAAATCAAAAGTGTTTTATTTTTGCCTCAGTACCACCCCAAATACAAACTGGTGGAAATTTCCTAGAAAACGGTATGTTTAATACGTCACCCTGCCCTTCAGCCCGATGCTATGTGTGTCATTAAACTGCATTCTCTTTTTCTTTTTAAAATTATGTCTGTATTGATTTTAGCAGGAGAAGAAGGGAGAGGGAGAGAGAGAGAGGGAGAGAGTGGGAGACAGAGGGAGAGAAAGCGAGAGGGAAATGGGAATGTGAGAGAAAGATCGATGGGTTGCTTCCCACACACCCACTCTGGGTACCCAACCCCAAACTGGGCATGTGCCCTGACTGGGAATCCACCAGCCACCTTTCAGTGCCCAGGATATGGCTCAGCCAACTGAGCCACACCAGCCAGGGCCAAACTGCTTTCTTGAGTCAAATCTGACAGCTTCCAGTGACAACACTTTACATAAACCGTTCCCTCCTTCATGGCCCTGTTTTCTGAAACATTGTGATTTACTTGCCTTTTGATGTTTTAGGCCAGTGGTCGGCAAACTCATTCAACAACGTAGCCAAATATCAACAGCACAATGATTGAAATTTCTTTTGAGAGCCACATTTTTTAACCTTAAACTTCTTTTAATGCCACTTCTTCAAAATAGATTCACCCAGGCTGAAAACCGAGTTCTGGGCATGGGCCATGAATTTTCAATCGCGCTGTATATGCGTGCCTGCACGTGGTATTTAGTGGAAGAGCCACACTCAAGGGGCCAAAGAGCCGCATGCTGCTCAAGAGCCGCAGTTTGCCGACCACGGCTTTAGGCAAACCTCCCTCCGGGACTCGGAGACACTGCCGGTGGCTGTGCCCACCCCTCAGCTTGCTCTGTGTCTCCCCTGTCGCTGCTCAGTGGCTCCTTCTGTTGCCTTCATGCGTCCGTCTCATTCTCCTTTCTCCACGAGTTTGCTTCAGGGAGTGCGCTGCGCCCAGGGAGGAACTAAGTCTCTGCAGAGGCAGGCAGCTTTGAACCAGTTGGTCTCTTCACAGGATTTAAGAAATTTAGAAACTGCCTTGAATGGAGGGCTTTTTGCACCCTTTCCCGAAAGCCCAAGCTTCTGGGCAGAGGAGACTCCAGAGAATGAGCAGAAAAAACCAGTGTGTGCCACGTCTGTTCCTGAACCTGGGGTCCCACTTGTGACCCAGGAACCTCTCACGTGATGCTGCGTGAAAATGAAATAAGGCAACATCTCTAATGAAAACAAATCGAAGTAACGAGGCAAACCTTCTCGGTTTCAGATCTAATCCTCACGCGTGCACGTGGCCTCTCTCCTCTCTGAACACGCGTGACAGCCTGTGTCTGCTGAGCCTCGTGTGGCTGGGCCATGCACACGCGAGACTCTCTCTCCTCACATCTCAGGGTCTGAAAACAGCACAGATGTTTCTTTGGAAGTAAAGTGATGACTTAGATACCTGTCAACTAAACATCATGTTCTCGCTGCACTGACACAATATTGTGAAAACTTGACTGGAGATCTTTGATTGTGCATCTAGACAGTCATCTGAAGAGTCATTCCCCTTGCAAAAATTAATCCAGGCTTCAGTTTGTTGTGTGTAAGGGGTATTCTGTACCTCTATTTTTATATTTAAAACTCACATATTTTATACATCATTCAGCGTAGGATGGGGCCGTTTTGTTACTGAATTGATAAAGTGTTTGTTAGACAGCTATTTCACGTATGTCTTGTGAGCAAAGTAGGATAAACAGTAGGATAATACAACATGCATTCTGTTGTATTAGCATGTACTTGAAGATAAGGATTTATCAGGGAAAAGTCCTAAATTTATTTAAAAAAAATGTTTTCCCAGAGGAAACGAAAAATGCATAAGAAGCAGAGAATCTGTAGGGTAATGAAGTGTCCCATGCGTTTGACTTGGGTTGTGTTATTTAGATGAAGTTAGTTTGTGGAAGAAGAACTGGGAGACTTTGTATCAGTTCAAGAACATCCCTTATTTTTGTAAAGCATATGGTTGATTGTCTAACCACTATGCTGTACACCTGAAGTCAACACAAAGTAATATGAAAATTAACCATCGTTGGAAAATAAAAATTAAGAAAAAGAAACAACATGTATGTTAGAGTGCCCTGGGGGATAGGATGTACAACAGAAGCTTTCGCTCAGACTCCTTAGGGACTTGCTATGGAGTCTTTTGGGGGCATCTGGGGCCCTGGTGAGCTTCCTCCCTCCGCTCTGCTTCCTGCCTGGAGAGAGTCAGCAGGAAGGCCCCTGCTCAGTGAGTTGGGGCAACCTGTTGCATCCAAAGGATTCCTTGCCACAGACGGGCCATTTTAGATGTATGTGGACAGTGTCTGTCCCAAAGGCTGTATTTCCCTAGGACAGTGGTCAGCAAACTGCGGCTCTTGAGCCACATGCGGCTCTCTGGCCCCTTGAGTGTGGCTCTTCCACAAAACACCACGGCCTGGGTGAGTCTATGTTGAATAAGTGGCGTTAGAAGAAGTTTAAGTTTAAAAAATGTGGCTCTCCAAAGAAATGTCAGTCCTTGTCCTGTTGGTATCTGGCTTTATTGACTAATGAGTTTGCCGACCACAGCCCTAGGAGGAGCCATTCACAACGAGTTTACACATACGTTGGCAATTTGTTTTCTGACTTACTAGAACAACAGTGTGTGCTTTGTGAGTGTTAGAAGTGATAAGGATATAACTTTATATTTTTATAAAGGATGTATTCTTTTTAAGTTACTATGCCTTTAATTGTCTATACTTCTTTGCAGATAATACATATGTGTCAAGTTCAGAAAATGATGAAGATGTATTAGTTACTACAGAGCCAATTCCAGTAATTTTTCATCGACTAGCAACAGGTAATAAGAATACACTATTTTTTGTCTTAGGTTAATATTTATTTGGTTATTAGGTAGCTTTGTGTTTTGGTTTCCTTTAGCCCATATAACAGGTAATAAATCTTTAGCGTTTAGAAATCTGGTTCTCCATCCAAATTTTCTATCTCAGGTGCTTTATTTTATTTTTTATTTTTTGACAGTTGTTTAAGTGCATACATTTATTGTACTTTAAAAAGTCTTATTTAAAGGTATTGGTATATTATGTAACTCCCCAACATAATATAATTTCAGAATCTTTCTTAATGTTCTTGCAAAAGGAATCACCTAAGAGGTATTTTTATGTTGAAACTTATGAATGTGTGTTAATAGTATACTAAAAACTAACATGATTTTTTAAATTTATATCTTTCAGAGTTAAGAAAAACAAATGACATTAACTGTTGCTTATCCATAAAATCCAAATTACAGAAGGAAAATGGGGAGGTATGTACATTATATTTTGTATTTATTTTAAAAGATAAAATCTATTTTAAATTTGCTGTGTATTTGCAGTCAACGTCATCATTGCTATTTAGGTTAAGATTGCAAATGGTGAATGAAACTCAAACCCTGTGTCTTCGGGACTTACTGTGTGGGAAGGGCAGTGGCCTCAAATGAACTTCTTTTGTGGCTGGACAATGGGAAATGGGACTTAGGAACCTCAGGGGTTTAATTTCATGCAAATAGCAATCACTCGTTCTCCTGTCTGAGTCTCAAACACTCTTTTTCTTGGGGTCCGGCACGAATTCCACTTGCACCTGCGACGGACTAGACGAGGACTCGCCCTCCTCCAACAGCTCGCAGGGTGTCACTGGTGAACGTGACCCTCCAGCTGAGGTAGCCGAGAGCGAGGGGCTATGCTTCTGGTTATTCCCAGCCAATGTCAACCACAGGGACAACGAGCTTCCCTCCTCCCCTTCGAAAATGTCACCTGAAGCTATAAATACCAGGCATTCAACAACCAGAGTGCCATGGAGCCATCGGTTCTTGGGTTTAAAACCATGCACTCAATTCGACGCCTTTCACATTGTAGGGTTCACCCTGCTGGTGCCCATCCACGCCGGCACCGCTGCGTTAGCCATGCCTGGCTAACACCAGGAGCGGTGGCATTTCTCCAAGCCCAGATCCTCGCTCCCAGGCTTTTGTTTTCCTGAAGAGTCTGAAATCTGGCCTGTAGATTCAGGGATGGTTATAAAACCTGGGGTCAACAGGCTCTTCTGTCTGAAGGGAGCCACCCGCCTTATTATTTCAACATAAGTAGGAAGTAGGGATGTAGTAACTATTGGTAACACGGGTTCATTCAGATGGATTTCCGTTGTGTGTGCTTTAGACGCATTAAGGATATGGTTTCGTTAATTAGAAACTCAACCTTCAAGTTCAAGCAAATTTAATTAAATGTCCTTTTGAGTCTGAAATTGAAAGCAGTCTCTGTATTCTGAAAGTTTTTTTTTTAAATAATGTGATTCATATTTATTTTCATAATTTGATTTTTTAATTATCGGATTCAGGCGTCTTTTCTTTCATGCCATTGTGTAGAGTTGGCAGTGGGAGTGAGGACCATCTGCGACAATAATGCTGAGAACCTTTTTAATAAAAAAATTGAATCGGTGCAAATGAAAGCAATGCAAGATAATATGGAATGCAAACTGTAATTGAAAAGCAAAATGTACAAAATTGAATCAGCATGAGCCTGTCAGCTGTTCCATCAGGACAAACTCAAAGCTGTAATTGCTGATATGTGGTTTCTGATGTAGACATAAAACATCACACTGAATGAACCAGGATAAGCAGAGAAGGTTAGAAGTGCATAGAGCTCACTGAATGCCCCACATGGCCGCCTCCTGTCTCTCCTGTTCTTGGCTCATGTGCACCCAGAACGTTCTCCCAAAAAACCCAGAGGACATGCAGAGACCTCCCTGCACGGCCGCTGGCTACTTTCTCTTCGGGAAGCAAACGCGGTTGACCACTGAAGTTGTCCTCTCGCTCTGTTATTTTAAGGAGTCAAGACAGAACAGTGCGGTGGAAGAAGACTCGGAAGGGGATAATGACTCTGAAGAGTTTTATTATGGAGGACAGGTAAGCGCACGGGCCCTCCAGCACCCCCTCCCCGAGGAGCAGCGCCTGTGTGTGCGGGCGGGCGTCTGTGCCCCCGCCTGGGAGGCCCGAGTGGCCCTCAGGGTCTGTGGCTGACGGGGCATCCGTACCGCTCACCACATTCCCCTGTCCCACACTTCTCAGCAGCGAAGGGGCTCTTGCGGTTCTTTGACTGTCATCGTTCATTGACATGGACTCTGTCTTACTTCATGATGGTGACTCTACACACAGCACTTCCTCATGCTTTTGACGGACAGTTCTTTTAAAAAACATATTTTATTGATATTTTTCAGAGAGGAAAAGAGAGGGATAGAGAGTTAGAAACATCAAGGAGAGAGAATCATCAATCAGCTGCCTCTTGCACACCTTCTCGTGGGGATGTGCCCACAACTAAGGTACATGCCCTTGACCGGAATCAAACCTGGGACCTTTCAGTCCACAGGCCGACGCTCTATCCACTGAGCCACACCGGCTTCGGCTGACGGACAGTTCTTAAGTACACAGTGCTCGGTCCGTGTTTTGAGACGATGCCAGCTCTAACAAAGCATGGGCTGGTCGTCTTCAGTAGAAGAAGGTTCTTCTTTATAAAAACCGATGGGCCCTCATGCCTGAGCATGCCCAGGATTGGCATCCCTGTCTTCCTTTCTCTCTCACGGATGCCAAGTGCTTGTTGAAAACTTGTTAGGAACCAAGGTCGTCATTCACGGACGTGGAAGTGGCATCGCCACGTGGGCGCGTACAGAAAAGCCTTCCTGCTGCTCCCGGAGAAGGCCAGGCTTCTCACGGGGCGATCGGGGGTAGGACATGGCTGTGGAAGGCGGCTTGTTCCGTTTCTCCCAGTCTCTCCATCGCTGGGCTGCGGAGCGGGACAGAATAGCGAGAAGGTAACGTGTTCAAAAGGGGCTTTGAAGCCAGTGTAGTTATCACACGTAAGAATGCAGGCCGACTTGTCCATTCCGAACGGACACTCGGTAGTTGGTCTCCCAGCACCTGCCAGGCCGTGGGGACAGGGACGCAGAGGAAGCAGCCATCTGTGCCCATCCCCGACAGAGCGACTCCGTGGCCGGGTGGCCCTGCCGCCGGGCAGGCCCACAGGGGCCACCCAGCTCCGTGCCGGGGGATGGGCACGCTTCTCTCCAGCCCGGAAACTCAGTCCGGAAGTTTTTCAGATCGCCTGCCAGCCCCTTCTCTCCGTGCCTTTCACAAGTGCACGTTCTCCGCACAGAGCAGTCTAATCTGACTTTGGAGCACAGTCAGCTCTGCTAGACGTAGGGGAGCCCGAGCACGCTGGAGGCCGGACTGCTGGGTTATCCGTGTTTGTGGATGAGGGGGACGGAGGAGGGCCCCCTCCAGACCCGCTCTGTGGACGGCATCCTCACCCGCACCCCCCCCCCCCCCCCCCCCCGCAGGTGAGCTTCGACGGGGAGCTGCGCAAACACCCGCAGCTGGAGGCCGACCTGTCGGCGGTGCGGGAGCTGTACGGGCCGCACGCCGTGTCTCTCAGGTAAGGCCGCGGGGCGGCAGGGCGGCGGGGCGGCGGCCGTCGGTGAGGGGGGCCCGGGGGCAGTGACGTCAGTGCACGTTTCCTTGGGCTCCAGGACGTTGGAAAACGTTTGGGAGCTTCCGTGTGCTCCTGCTTCCGCAGGACGGCCTCGCATCGCCGTGGGGGCCTGTATGCGTGGATTAAGATGCCACCGACGGCAGGAGAGATAGTTAGCGAGGAGAGCATGTGCTGCTAGGACCCAGGCTTCAGTGTGTCCCCCAGTTCCGATGGCAGACGGGGCCAGCGAGGCCCGGGCTGTTGTCACCACACCTGCATGCGAGCAGTACGAGGAGATAGCACGTATGCCCACGGCCACCAGGGCCCTGGCCGCCGCTCCTGCCTCAGAAGCAGGAGGGAAGAGACTTCCTGGCTGTGCACAGGGTGTACCTGAGCGGGGTGCGTCTTCCCCTGCGGCCGCTCAGTGTGTTCTTTGGCGGTGCCTTTCCAGACCGCTGTTATTCGTTTTCGTCACTGGGAAGAGCCTGCCCTCCACTCAACCCCTCTTTTCTCTCCTTAATGTGAGGACCCCCCGTACACCCTGGGGTTCCCTCCCTGAGCGAGCCCAATGCTGCAGGTTCCGGGTCCCAGCCCCTGGGCCCCGGCCTCCCGGCCTTTACCCCCCAAACGGGAGCCGGTCCAGCCGCACACCTGCCTGCTTCCTCCTGGCCCCGGGCGCTGGCTCGGCCACTTTCTTCTTTCCTCATCGAGGCCGCAGCCCGCTCACCCTGCGGCCTTCCCTGGGCCCGGCCAGGCGGCTCTGCCTGAACCTCGGGCACTCCCGTCCGCTGGGCTCTGTCCTCCCTCCCTGTCCTGCTCTCGCCTGTGAGTTGTTTTTTTTTAAATTCCTTTATTGATTAAGGCATTACATATGTGTCCTTACACCTCCCCCCCCACACACACACTCCTGCCCTCACACCGTGTGTCTGTCTGTGTCCATTGGGTAGGCGGGTAGGCATGCACACGAGTCCTTTGGTTGATCTCTCCCCCTCTTCGGTGCTTGCTTTGTTTTGGTTGGATTTCAATCCTGCTTGCATTCTGGTGGTTTGTGCAGCACGGGCCTGTCTGAAACTCATACGTGAGGGAGTTCTGGGTGGGATCTGTGGGTGGGTTCTGGGAGGGTTCTGTGGGTTCCGGGTGGTTCTCAGGGGCTGCCTCCATGCCCCGGTTCCTGTCTCTTCGCTGGACACAGCGGATTGTGAGACCGAACAAGCGCGTTCTGTGGGGAAGAGCAGCAGCTGCAGGTGATTCCTAATCCGAGTGCTTCTCCTGGAAGCCACACCTCCCCAGCCGCGGGGAGCTGGGGCTGTGCACACCCGCTCCACCCCCCCACCCCCCACCCCCGAGGTCTAGGCAGCTGTAACAGCGGGAGAGTGATTATGTGGGAAAAGCACATCTTTACCATTTTCCAGGTTTTAGTGAATTAGCTGCGATCGTTGCACTGCGGGTCCCTCCTGTCCTCCGGGCAGGGCCGTTCTGGGAGTGCTTCAGAGTGAGCGAGTGAAGGAGGCAGTGAGAACTACCCACAACGTCCCAAACAATGACTTTTTCATAGTGACCACTTGAAAGCTTAACACTCTCATTGCGGCAATGTAACCCCCTCTCCCACTAAAGAGAAAAAGCCGGGGGGATGGTTAACCACCGAGGCAGCAGCATGGTCTTAGCTTCTTCCTGTGAGGCGCGTGGGCTGGTTGGAGGGCGGCCTGCGCCCGTGTTGACTGCTCTTAGAGGTCAGACGTTTAAAAACACCTTGTTCCCACGCTGCCGAGGCCTCTCTCACACTGCCACATACAGATGGCATTGCTTGTGTTTTCCTTCAGCAGGCATTGATGAAACACCTCTGATAATCTCTACTATTTCCCATTATTGGTGAAATTATGGACCCTTTATCAACTGTGGAAATTAGACAGATATTTGGGACTTTGTTTAAATGACGTCATAAATGGCTGTGCTTATTTCACTTGCTTAAACCACTTACCCGTTTTGATCCAATTCAAATCTCCACAAACGCAGGCCATGTTCGTGCCTGCTTTAGATTTCCTCTCGATTCTCTCCAGCTCCATCCAGAAGATGTCTCCAGAATAAACAGCCTCCCAGAGGCCTAGTGACGTGAAGGTGACTCTCAGCAGGACGAGAGTGATTTTCTCAAATGAGAAGGAAGGTACTGTCTAGGCTAGGGGTGTCGAACTCAATCAGAGAAGGGGCCAAAATCTAAAATCCAGCCTAAATCGCGGGCCGAATGGTTTACTGAACAGTCATAAACTGTCATTGTGATGGAAACGCAGCGGAGTGCAGTGATGACAGCGCGGTGCGGGCCACATTGCAAGGCCTGGTGGGACGGATTTGGCCCGCGGGCCTTGTGTTTGACACATGTGGTCTAGGCCCATGGTCGGCCAATTGCAGCTCTCGAGCCACATGCAGCTCTTTGGCCCCTTGAGGGTGGCTCTTCCACAAAATACCACGGCCTGGTCGAGTCTATTTTGAAGAAGTGGCGTTAGAAGAAGTTTTTAAAAAAAAATTTGGCTCTCCAAAGAAATTCCAGTCGTTGTCCTGGCTGATATTTGGCTCTGTGGACTAATGCGTTTGCCGACCACTGGACTAGGCTCAGACACTGAGGGCTGGACATGGGGGAGGGGGAGGGTTAGGCGCCAGGTCTGGGCCTCATCTTCCTTGCGAGGCTCTAACTCTGTCGAGCCGAGGCTGTCCTAATGAGCTGTTCTCTCACTTAATTGCGGTTTATAAGAACTTAATGGGGTTTGAAGAGCAGAAGCACCTCAATATGCATACTAGGCTATTTGGTGTCTGTTTTTTTAATGCGACATCTGATGAGGTGGGCAGCCAACCAATCTGAGTCCTCTGTGAGGGACAGCCGCCTCCACAGAGGCAGACCTGTCGGGAAAGGGTGAGGGGGAGACAGGAAAAGCGGCGGAGGATGCATTTGTGAGAGCCGGTTCTTTCCATTCCACCCAGCCGTGTCCCGGAGCAGAGCTGGTTGTGCGGAGTCACCTCGTTTGCACGGGTGACAGTCTGACTCAGCCTCCTGAGGGACGGGCGTAGTTCCGTGCGGACGTGATTAACCCGTCACTAGCCTGCATAGGTCTCACCTGGAGCCGCGCTACAAAATGAGGATGTTTCGTGTTTTTCACTGTGAAATTTACTGCATAGCCATCTACACATATAAAAGCCTAAGCAGCCATTACAACCAAGGACCGGAATGACCAGAATGATGCACACTGACAACCAGGGGGCAGACGCTCAATGCAGGAGCTGCCCCCAGCTCGCAGGTCCCGATCGCTGATAGGGCTTGCTGGCCAACCTCCCGGTCTCTCCCTGGGCTGGCAGGTCCCAATCACCCAGTCAGGGCCGGTCCCAGGCTGGGACATGAAACCAGGGTGGTGGTGGCAGTTGAGGGCAGCGAGGGAAGGAGGAGAGGAAGAGATGGAGAGGGGAAGAGATGGTGAGGCGGGGATCCCTAGCCAGGCCTGGACTAGTTTTGTGCACTGGGCCTCTAGTGTACTTATAAAAAGACTTGATTCATCTCCTCCCTCCCTCCCCCCCGAATTTCTGCTGTCACATACAGTTTCCAGGTGAAAGTTTGCACATGCTGTTGTCTGGGGGTGGTTTAGTCCTGGCTCCCGCACCCGTAGGAGTGTCGCGAATGTCGTCAGCAGGCTGTGTCCCTCATCACACTGCCTGGCACTTCCTCTCTCCCGCCTCACTGTGCACATTCAGCACATTCTCTTCTCGTGTTTACGAATAGCGTGCCAGAGGTCAGGGTCAGAACATGGTGGCCACTGGCTGCTGGCCCTGCCTAAGGGCCCCTGAGCTGCACATGGTGCATGCTTTTTTAAAGGTCCGTGGGGGGAAACCACCCAGACAGCAGGCGGAATATGTGACAGCGGGTCTGTGTGCCTGAGAGCCTAGCATAGGTACTACCTGGCCTTTCCTGAACCCAGAACACGAGGCGCAGAAGCATGATTCATGCACTTGCACCTTATTCTTGTCCTCACCTCCGGATAATTGCGTAACTCGATTGGCATATTTTCACCTCTGAATTTGCATAAGATTATAAAGGTTCCTACTCTGAAAAACACAGATGTTATGACCCATGCTATTAAAAAAAATTGCTGCCTGAATAATTTTTAGCCTTTTAACCTTTAAAAGTATTACTAGGAAAGAATGAAAAGAACAATTTTCTTTTTAATAATGAAAACATGCTCAGTGTTTGCATATTTTTGAGGGGAGAATGTAGGAAGCGGAAAGGCTGAGTTATTGTATTTGAAATGCTGCAATTTGTCCTAGGCATCAAAAAGACCACCTGGATTTCTTTGTTCACTGAATTACATGAACCACTTAGTTATTAAACATACTTTCTCTGAATCCTGCAGAAGTGCCACAGTTTGCACTGTGTTGGCATCACTCGAATATACGTGCGATACGTTGGCATTTGTGGCAAGGGGGGGTCCGGGGGGGGGGTCCCTCTTTTCCACGTCCAGCACGGAAAGAGAGATGATCCGGTTCTTGAAGTAGAGGCGGCCGGGGATTGAGAAATAAAAGAAAGAAAGAAAGAAAGAGAGAGAGACAGATAGAAGGAAAAAGCTGGAACCGGTGGGATCGCTGCCCTCTTCTGCTAGAGAGGCAGTGACCCAGAGAGGATGCAGTGAGTTTATTTCCCATCCCAAATACTAAGAAGTTTTACCAAAATCAGGACAAAGGAGATTATTTGCATTCTTGAGTAGGCCCCAGTATTCCTGGTGCTTGACTGGATTTACATATCAAAACCCACTCCCCACATCTGGGCAAAGATAAGACTCAGTGCTGAGAACACGTCTGCCTTTTTGGTTCTATGGGTAACCAAGACTTGGCTTTGCCTGTCGCCTTGGGTCCAGCTGGCAGCCATTAAGGAAGAATGCCCATGTGCCTCCCTGGTGCTTTCTCCGGCATTTTCATCAACTACTGAACTGTGTGCCACCTGCTGTGCTCAGCAGAGTTGAGGGTGGGAGTGAACTCAGTGCCTGGCGTTCCCACTGACTTTTCAAAAAGTTTATTGTTGAAATCATTAGATATGTCTCCCCTTCCCCATTGGCCCCCTCCACCTCGCTCCCACCCCTCCTAGGCCTTTACCACACTACTATCTGTGCCCATGGGTTAGGCACAGAGGCACCCAAGGTCTCCACTGACTTTGTACCTGCCCTTAGGCAGCTGGTGCCTCCCTGAACCTCCGTGGTCTCATTTGGGAACGAGGGCGGCAGTGGTGTGCTCGTGGGAAGGTGTGGCGAGGCCCTGATGAGGTCCTCCCTTAATGTCCGACCTGGTTTCCACACAACAGGCAGTTCCTCCGAAACTGAACTGATGAAGCACCCGCATAAATAAATAAATAAATAAATAGGACAAATGTATTCGAATCCCAGCTCCCTCCGGAGTGAGGGGGGCTAGCTGACTTTATCGCCTGGGGCCTCGGTCGGGTCCGTGCATCTGTGAATTAGCGCCTGTGATCACGTGATCAGGTGTGTGAACTCCTGAGAGCAGCTCTGGCACCAGGGCTCCCTAAGTATTGGCCATTAACGTCCATCACGTCTGCTCTCTCTGCAGTTGGCTGCGTATAGCATCTGAAACCAGACTTTTATAGAAATATAAAAAATAGAGATTAGGATAATAGTATATGGAGACTCTAAACACCATTGTTTTCATGCTGTTAACCAAAAAACAAACAAACAAACAAACAAAAAATCCCCAAACCATTGAAACCTGTAAAGAATTTTTGGGAGTTTATTTGAGCCAAAACTGTCGACATACGCCCGGAAGTAGAACCTCAACGGATTGAGATAATGCTCCGGAGAATGGCGGGTTACATCTATATTTATACACTGAAATCAAAGGAAAGGGACGTAGGTGAGTTACATGAAATTCATTGGTGATAGATTAGGGAGGGGGGACAGAGCAAAGCGGGGAAACCTCTGGGACAGGGTAAAAGGTGAAATGATGGACATGAGCTTCTTTTACAGAGATGGATACAGGATACTTTATCTAATTAACAGTTGACAATTAACTTGATAACAATAACAATAAGGGAATATCTTGAGGCCATTTGTTGTGTCCTGAGAGGTCTGGGGGGGAGAGGGGGAAAGGAAATTACAAGTTACCCAGACATCTCACAGATATGTTATCTTAGAGGCAAAAAGGCAAATGGGCTCAGTAAAGATCTGAGTTGATCTTTGTCAGGGAAAATATCGGCCTAGGACATGACTACCCACTCTAACCTGTTTGTAGTTACATATTTAATTTCCAAACCATCCTTTGTGGTGACTTTAGGTCTGAGTTTGCAAGACTGCCACACAGGCCTCCCCTGAGCTTGTCAGGTTAGCATGTGGCTCTTTTCGTCCACAATGGTACACTCACCGTTAACTTAAAAAAATACGCTGGTTTGCGTCTCTCCCCGGCTGGAAAAAGTTGGTCTTTGTAACATCTTAGTGTGGAACATTCCTATTTTAGTTTTGATGTGTCAGACTTTCAGAGCTGCCTGTGAAAACAGGGCCTGCTACGTGGCAGACACTGGTGTCTCACATGGAAGGAAAATTCCCAGACAGGTTATTGGGGCCGTACACTCTCCCCGCCCTCCTCCCCTCAGAACCTCCTCCAGCCTCTGGAGGCAGCGCTGCACCTGTAGGCGCGCAGTGAGCCAGACAGGCCGGCGAGAGGACTGTGACGTGCTCCAGAGAGCAGCGGCCTTCGAACCTGGGACCAAACAGCTCTGGGGCTGACACGTGCACGGGCCGGAGGCCAAAGGCGGGAAGGCGTCTAGATCCGTGGTCAGTTAAACTGCGGCTCGCGAGCCACAGGCGGCTCTTTGGCCCCTTGAGTGTGTGTGGCTCTTCCACAAAACACCACGGCCTGGGCGAGTCTATGTTGAAGAAGTGGCGTTAGAAGAAGTTTAAGTTTAAGAAATGTGGCTCTCAGAAGAAATGTCAATCGTTGTCCTGTTGATATTTGGCTCTGTGGACTGATGAGTTTGCCGAACAGTGGGCTAGATGATTGCAGTAGGTCCTAGGAGAGGCATCCAGCCACATGGAGTCCGGTGAATCAGGTCCACAGGCGTTTCCGAGCTCTCTGGTCATCAGGGACAGAGGGATCATGATTAAATTTTTAATTTAAAGTAAGCCAGGACACCATGTCTTTTAAGGAAATTGAAAATATTGACGTTAACCTCTGCTTCCAGGGAGTATGGAGCCATTGATGACGTAGATATTGATCTGCATGTCGATGTCAGCTTTCTTGATGTAAGTATCAATTCATGCCATGTGATGGCTACCTTTAAAAAACGCTTATTTTTATTGGAGGAAATCTAATTTTTGTTATAATGCTATTAGTAATGCATTGACTTTTTCAGAATGATTTATGAAAAAATGCTACGATTGGCTGAAGAAACAGATTTTATATATATACATATATATATATAAATATATGTATATAATACATATATATTTGTGTTGATTTTTAAATATACTCTGAAATTTGCATTCTCTTAATTCAGTGCTTCAGTATTTCTTAAGTTTTCATTTTTATTTTCATGCAAAAAGGCAAAAATTAAAAGTACTTTGGTTTTCTTTTCATAAACCGTAGGTTTTGCGATAATTTGTAGGCCTTAATGATTTATGCATTTCTTCAAAATAATTTAAATATTTTTTAATTGGGAAAATACATCAAGGCTCTACAAGATGACTAATTCATCTTTATAATATATTTATTTGCACAGGAGGAGATTGCTGTGGCTTGGGAAGTGATTCGAACAGAACCTATAATTGTCCGACTACACTGCTCACTCACACAGTATTTAAATGGCCCAGGTTGACTTTATTTCTCTATTATTTTGAGTATTCAGTTGTGCATTGTGCATTAAGCAAGATGACTGTGCATTTGGTAATTTTGAGAGTAACTGTGGCTGTCTTGATAATGATATTTAAGCACACAAAGATGGTTTACTACCGGTATGACTACTAGGAAGAGAAACATGTACCATTTAGTTGTATAGATTTCAGAAGTTGACAAGTGTCTGGGAAATAAGCACATTAACACCTAACAGAGAACTTTGCGTATGGTAGAAGCTGAAATCCTGTCTTTAGATCCTGAGATTTAATTTAAGAAAAATATATTTTATTGATTTTGTACAGAGAGGAAGGGAGAGAGATAGGGAGTTAGAAACATCGATGAGAGAGAGTCATTGATCAGCTGCCTCTTGCACACCCCCTACTGGGGATATGCCTGCAACCAAGGTACATGCCCTTGACCGGAATCAAACCCGGACCCTTCAGTCCCCAAGCCAACGTGCATCCCTAATTTCCCTCTGATGGTGGCGAGAGGAGAAGAAGCTCTTGTCAGCGCGTGTTTGTGTCTGAGTTAGAGGGTCAGAGCGTGTTTGTGTCTGGGTTAGCGGGGTCAGACACAAAACTGGGCCAGTTCACCTGTTCCCCAACTCCACGCTGAGACGAGAACGTGGCATGCCTTTATGGGAGCTGACCGCCGCTGCTCATTTTTAAATATGATCTTCGACTCTAGGCAGAGATTCCCCTTCACGTCATCTCTTCAAAGACTTGTCACGGTTGCATGGTTTTAGAAATACTTTAACAATTTTGTGTCAGTTCATGTTTAGGTGGTTTTACGGCTCAGTGTCACGCACTTAGGATTAGAACTCCTCCATCATTCAACGTTTTCATCTCTGTTAGTTGGCTTACATGTTTAATGGTTAGTCAGCCAAAGGAACATGAGGGTTTTGTCTTCTGTCTTCTGTCTTCTCACATCTGAGGACAACCCTTTGACCAGCTTGACCACGTGTAAACTTATGGGGCCCTAACAGTTACCCCCAAGAAGCAAAAATGCCTTGAAAAAACCATGCTAGTTTATATCCGAAAGTGTTTTAGTTTTGTTTCTTTGTAAGAAAACTATTTTGGTTCTCTTCGTATTTGTTATATGTATTGTACTTACTGGACTATTTTCTCTCTTTTATTTTCAAAGAATGTTTTTATTGATTTTTTACAGAGAGGGAGAGAGATGGAGAGTTAGAAACATTGATCAGCTGCCTTCTGCACACCTCCTACTGGGGATGTGCCTGCAACTAAGGTACATGCCCTTGACCGGAATCGGACCTGGGACCCTTCTGTCTGCAGGCTGACGCTCTATTCACTGAGCTACACCTGTTAGGGCTATTTTTATGGCTTTCAAATTGATCGACTTAAGTCTTAAGTCACTCAAACGTTACAGTTGTTCCTCTGGTATCCCTTGCTCTGATGAGCATCGATGGTGTCTGACGCCTCTGCCTTCCACGCTTTTGCCCTCTGTCTTAGTGCCTCATCCTTCTCCCCGAGAACGTGTAACTTTATTTCATTAAGCGAATGTTCTCAGGATTCAGCCTTTGACTGAATGTCCCCTTCTGTTTTTAATTTGACTCCCATCTTCACCGATCCTGTTTCCTCTCTCCCATCAGTCGCATTCATTTTATCTATGCGACGTTATTCTGAATTTTGTTGGGAACATAAATCAAGAATCCCCCAAGATTGTTTACTTTATTCCCGGAGATGGGGTTTGGCTGTGCTCAGTGTGGAAGCAGGTGTTGAAATGCACTTCTTTCAGAAATTAGTGTGATTTGGGCCTGATTTCTTCCATTAAGATAATTTCCACGTATGGTAAGCAGCCCCCCCCCCCAACCCAAATTATAAGAGACAAGGAAAAATGGAATACCTTCACCTTTTTGAAATGTGAAAATGCTTTATGGGTGTTCTCTGTGGAATACGCCTTAAAACTATTGAATGGCGGTGGTGGGTGACCTTTCGGAGAGGTTTTTAATCTCACACACACAGTGACGAACGGACAGAGTGCGTGTATCTGGTAGAAATATGAAGCCCATGACAGGGCCTCCAGAAGTCGCCTGAGCCTTACTCTCACACTCCATTATTTTATTCCAGGAAAAGGTGTGCTGATAGCCCTGGCAGGTGGCTCTGTGGGTTGGCAATCATCCATACACCAAAAAGGGTGGCCGTTCAATTCCTGGTCAGGGCGCATGCCTCACATGTAGGTTCAATCCCTGGTAGGGGTGCCTACAAGAGGAAACGAACTGATGTTTCTCATTCACATTGATCTCTTTCTCTCTCTCTTTCTACTTATTTCTATCTCCCTTCCTCTCTCTAAAAATTAATAAAAACATTCTTGGGTGAGGATATAATAAAAAGATGTATGTACATCTTTCTTCCACTGGAAGAATAGTGCTCACTCTCCTACACATTGCTATTTACAATTAATGTGGTTTTTTTTGAAGATCATTCTTCATTACTATACACGTTGCACATTTTTATGTATACACATATTATGCCTTAGTATATAGCATAATGATCAAAAAAGATCTTCAAGATGACTGTATTGAAAGCATCAAAGAAATGGATAGCACTGTGTACCCTATTTCTAAATGTGTGTCTATTACATGTTATGTAATGTGTACACATGTCTGTATCTAGCATTTCTTACATGTACATATACACGCACACACAGATGTACACCTATTACTTCCCCGTTTCCTGACTGGGGACTTCCCCCTTCACCTGGTGACTGTTTTTTTCTTTTCAGTGCCCACTGTCGATGTCTTTCAGATTTCCACCAAAGAGCGATTCGGACTGGGACACCAGCTGAAAAAGTGAGTTTTCCGTGGAATGAGAACTCCGTGTCCTTTCAGGGGCCGAGTTTTCCTCTGCTCATCGCTGCCCCCTTGTGTGCAGTAGGCGCTCTTCCACGTGGCACCTGGGGAGCAGCTCCCGCGATGCCCAGGTTGAGTGGGCATCAAGTTGGCAGAGTGCATTGCTAGTACCGCCAGCTCCCCTGCTGCTCCCCAGATGACTAATAATGCTATTGCATTGATTTATTTTTTAATGTATTTTTTTTACGGTATTACAGATGCCCCCTATTCCTTTCTTTGGCCCTCCTCTGCCCACCCCTGACTCCCCCTCACTCAGGCTGTCACCACACTATTTTCTGTGTCCATGGGCAATACATATCAGTATATAAGTTTCCCCCCAGCTCCCCAGCCACCCAGAGCCAGCTCGAGGCTCGGGTAACCAGGGCCTGCCGAGGCTTGCGCTGCAGGCAGTGGCAGCAGCAGAGCTGTGATGGGGGTGTCGCCTTCCCCTGATTGCCAGGTGGCCTCCTGCCCCTGAGGGCTCCCGGACTGTGAGAGGGGCAGGCCGGGCTGAGGGACCCTCCCCCATGCACTGGGCCTCTAGTTAATAATAATTCATAAAGTCTAAAATATTTCTGGATGCTGCTGCTTTCTGCACACAAAAACATCCTGTGTGATTCTAAGTGGCCTCTCCCCAGTCACCACTGCATGTCTCTTTCCCTTTGGTAAATGGTTCTCTGCAGAGTGAATGCTCAGTTCTCACCACCGGGGCCTCAGCCTGTGGTAACAGACTCCCTTTATTGACAGGATCATGCAGACCTTCGTCACGCAGCAGTGGAAGCAGAGCAAAGACAGGCCCAGCTGCCTGCATGGCAAGAAGCTGTCGGAGAGGAAGGTGAAGTCCCCCCTGCATTTGTTTTCCACCCTGCGCAGGTGGGTACTGCCCCCGCCCGGGCGAGGGGCCGGCTGGCTCCCTGGCACTCAGCTCCCAGCACCCTTTCTGTTCTCTCCCTGACACTTCCGAGAATGGACAGACACATAGGCAGATACCCGTCCGAGCGTGTCTTCTTACAGGGACCCAGACTGAGTTCTCTCTGCCTGCGTCAGCTCCCTGCGGGACTCGGTGGGGAGGAGGAGGAGAGGGAAGTCCCGGTAACCCGTGTTTGCTTTTCAGGGAAAATGCATTCCAGTTCCTGCGGTCCTTCCGCACGCTCCTGGTTTCCGCTGGGGCTGGGTGGTGGGCTGGGTGGTGGGGGGCTGGGTGGTGTGCACAGAGGGTGGGGTGTGTCACGCAGCGGAGCGGACGGGCCCAACCAGGGTCCCCTGGGGTCCGATCTCCCGCGGGCCCCACACTCACCGTGCTTCCCTCTTGCAGGTCGCCCAGCTACCCTCCCCCGGGCTGCGGGAAGAGCAAGGCCAAGCTGAAGGCCGAGCAGGACGGGCTCTCCAAGACGCACAAGCTGCTGCGGAGGACGTGCGGCGGCGCCAAGGCCGAGGACGGCGCCCCCAAGGCCCACCGGCCCTTCGGCCGCTCCCTGTCCAGCGACCCCCGGGCCGAGCAGGCCGTGGGCGCCCTCAAGCCGCACAGACTGCTGGGCCGGGCCTGCCCCGGCGCCCCTACACCCGAGGACTGCGCCCCCCTCAAGCCCCACAAGCTCTTGACGCGCTCCTGCTCGGGGGACCCGCGCTGCGAGCACCCCAAGGCGCAGCGGCTGCTGGGCAGGCCCCACGCCGGCGGCCTCCGCGTGGACGAGCTGTACGGCCTCAAGGCGCCCCGGCTGCTCGGCAAGGCCACCGCCGCCCCCCGGGCCAACCGCGCCGAGCCCTGCCCAGAGCCCCCCGAGGGCCGCCGGCTGTCCCTCACCTCAGGGCTCATGGGCATCCTGGCGCCCGCCGCCCAGCCCACTGTGCGTACCGCTCGGTCACGGTTCATGGGGCGGCCGGGGGGTGGGGGGGACCCTCTGGGCCTTAGCGGGGAGCTGGGAGAGGAGAGGGCGCGATGCTGCTGCTTTTCATGAACCCTCCGGGTGTGTGAGTACTGCTGGGGCACACGGGCGTTGGCCCCGGTGCTGGGATGCTGACGTTGGCTCTCTGTGTCTGAGCAAATGCATTGGCACCCGCAGTGATTTGAGGGAGACGTCCCTTCACGCCCACTTCTTGCCCGGACTTGGGAGGGTCTGCGGGGTCCTGTCCGTAGGGCCCCCAGAGCATCTCCCCACCCAGGCTGGAAGTCAGGTGCTTGGTGAAGAGGGCGGGGCTGACCTCTAGTTGGCTCACCCAAGTGGTGGAGGACAAGGCCCGTCTGTTCTCTCTGTCCTGTCCCGGAGGACAGCGGGCCACCAGCACCATCGCGGCATTCACGGCTGTAGCTGGTGCCTCACCCGAAGCTGCTCTTGTGTCTGTAAACCGAGGTCACTAATCCTGAAGCTGCTGTATTGTGGGGGGGCGGGGGGCTAGGGGATGGGGTGCAGGAGTGGGGGGAGATGGATGTATTAAAACTTAACTTTGGGGGGTGGTTACTGGGAGCCAATCTGACACAGAATGTACCTCCGGAGGGGCCTGCCTTCTAGTCAGTGTCAGGTGAAGAAGCAGACCTGCCGTATGTATGTCATTTGCTTAGAATCGGCCACAGTCCGTGCTTGGATTGCTGTTGGTGAGTGTGTGTCTGCGTTGGGACAGGAGTATGTAGCTCTTAACTACACACATGGGAACGCCTAGCCATGGATGCAACGGCAGCGAGAAAAGGTCTGCTTTTAGAAGGTTGCGTTTCTTGTACAGATTAATTTCTAAAATTAAACTGTACATTTCACCACGAGATGATATTCGTGTTAGGAAAATGTGCTGGAGCGTACTGGTAATGTTATGTAGACATCCCTTAAAGCCCATTTCTTACCAACACTGACGAGGGCGTTTGGGACGTAATGTCAGTTCCATAGAAGCCGGACTGGCCTGTCAGCCGCCGCTAGGAGAGGGCAGCTCGGACGTCCTGTGCGGAGGCTGGAATTGAGTCGGTTAGTGCCGCCGGCCTCTCGGTGCCTGTCTGAACGGGCGATGGGTGTCTGCGTTGGGACAGGTGTATGAAGCTCTCACAGGTGATTGAAAAGTGAGATGGAGATGCTCTCAGGGAGGGGGCGGGGCATGGGCCCTGAGGAGCGGAGGAAGTCGGTGTGTGTGACGATGTAAAGATGCCAGTTTTTTACCAGGAAGGAGGCATATCACTCAGTGCAGACCAGGTTCGTGGCAGGACGTGTTCTGTCACCCCGGGACCCCCCACCTCCGTGTGGGACCGGCGGCCGGCTCCCGCGACAGGTGCTGTTAGAAAGCTCACAGCTGCTTCCGTTGGCGGTGCACGGAGTGAGAGGCTAGGACTGGCCCATCTCCCGCTTCTAAAACTCTGATCTGTCCTCCTCCTTTGCCTTCACAGCCAAATGGTGCCAAATGCGTCCCCGTCCGAGACCGCGGCTTCCTCGTGCAGGTAGGGCCGAGCACCCCGCGGGAGAGCGGCTTCGTGGGGCTGTCCGTGGGCCACGCCCCGCAGCCCCCTCACGCCCTCTCCGTGGCCTGCAGACCATCGAGTTCGCGGAGCAGCGGATCCCCGTGCTGAACGAGCACTGCGTGGTGTGTGACGAGCGCCACGTCTTCCTCAACGGCCCCATGCTCAGGGTCAGTGTCCAGCCGGGCGGAGGGGCTGGCGGGCGGGGAGGCGGGAAACTGCATGGTGAAAACCACAAATACGGTGTCGAGTGGTTGACAGTTTAGATTATGGGACCTTATTGTATGAAGGCTGTAACAATATAACGCTAAGGAGGTAACACTAAACCCTGGCCGGGTAGCTTCGCTGGTTAGAGCATCGCCTGATATGCCAAGGCTGGTGGGTTTGATCCCGGGTCAGGGAACAGACGAGAATCAGCCAATGGATATATAAATAAATGGGACAACAAATCTTTCTCCCTCTCTCCCTCTCTCCCTCTTGCCTTCTCTTTCTCTCCCCCACCTGCTCCTAAACTTATTCTCTCTAAAATCATTGTTTCTGAAATGGAATCAAACTGCACATTTAAGACTGACAAAGGAAATACATCATTAAAAAAATTCTCGGAGGGGAACATGAGCCAGAAACCTTAGTGACTGGTCACGCTCCCTGCCCACAAAGCCACCACGGGAGCCCTGTCCGAGCAGAAAGGATGTTCTGAGGGGGCGGCCTCCCGCCGTGAGCAGAGGCCAGGGGCCCCTGAGGTGAACGGCAGGGCAGCGGCACTCACAGACGCGCTTCCGCCGAGCGAGTGGTGGCCGGGGATGGCCTCGCGTAAGAGGAGGCTCCTCAGAGCGAAAGGCACAGGAAACGCGACTCCTTTCTCTCCAGTGCGTGTCTCGGGGCCGTGACTTCGGGAGGTCATGGAAGTGGAAAATCGTTGCGACAAAACCAAACTTTCAAGAGCTGGGGAGCAAGTGAGCAGAGTCATGCTGCTTCCAAAGACAGTGACTTAGGAGAAGGCGGCTTTCTCCTTCTTATTCCTTTTACACAGATGTGGGGTTGCACCGTGCTTGTTAGTATACCACCAGCTTAGGGATCTACTTCTCTTTAAAACTTACTAGAGGCCTGGTGCACGAAATTCGTGCCTGGGGGAGGGGTGTCCCTCAGCCCAGCCTGCACCCTTTCCAATCTGGGACCCCTCGAGGGATGTTCAACCATTTAGATCCAATACTGGTAAACGGCAGTCAGACATCCCTCTCACAATCTAGGACTGCTGGCTTCCAACCACTCACTTGCCTGCCTGCCTGATTGCCCCTAAATTGCTTCTGCCTGCCAGTCTGATCACCCCCTAACCACTCCCCTGCTAGCCTGATTGACGCCTAACTGTTCCCCTGCTGGCCCAATTGCCCCTAACTGCCCTCCTTTGCCAGCCTGGTTGTCACCAACTGTCCTCCCCTGCAGCCTAATCCTCCCCACCCCAATTGCCCCTCCTGCAGGCCCGGTCACCCCTGACTGCCCTCCCCTGCCGGCCATCTTGTGTGTGGGAGTGACGGTCAATTTGCATATTACTATTTTATTAGATAGGATGTGTGAGTGCGTAAGAAGCAGGAGAAGTGGGCTTTTCAGTTGAGGGATATTTTCGTCTATTGCTCAAGCCTTCCTACTGCAGGCGCCCACGCCTCGCTGACACAGATTTCCTAACTAATCCCGTCTGTGCCTAGATCAGTGCATGGTGACTTACCATGTGTGACTCCCCTACAGACGTTTTTATGGAGTAAAAGCACATGTGTCAAACACAAGGCCCGCGGGCCAAATCCGTCCCGCCAGGCCTTGCAATGTGGCCCGCACCGCGCTGTCATCACTGCACTCCGCTGCGTTTCCATCACAATGACAGTTTATGACTGTTCAGTAAACCATTCGGCCCGCGATTTAGGCTGGATTTTAGATTTTGGCCCCTTCTCTGGTTGAGTTCGACACCCCTAGAGTAAAGCATGCGCCTCCTTTCTCTCCGGCATCGAGAGCCTTTCCCTTCCCCATGTGTTCAACCGGACACCATCCCTCCAGGCGTCGGAGGTGGGCCGGGAGGTCGTGACCGCTCCTCCTTCCCTTGCAGCCCACGGTGTGCGAGCGCGAGCTGTGCGTGTTCGCCTTCCAGACGCTGGGCGTGATGAACGAGGCGGCCGACGAGATCGCCACGGGGGCTCAGGTACCGGCCCGGGACTTGAGAACTTGGCTCTCATTCACCAGTCACTGCCCCCTGCTCTTCCGGGGCACCTTCCTGATGGCTGGGTGTGAAAGCACACGGCCGCCGACAGTGAGGCAGGACAGACGCCGCCGTCTGTCCGAGCGTGGCCGTGGTTCCGCAGCTGCCCAGGGAGGCGCGGCCCCGCTCCCGGGGTGTGGGCCGCCCTGTGGCTCTTTCCCTCGGGCGGTGCTGACCTGGGAGCGGCACAGGCCTTACTGAGACTGACCTGTGGGCTGGTAGTGCCGTAAAGTGGGATGCTACTGATTTCTCAAACCAGACGAGAAGAGAATGGGCAGAGCATGTCAGCGAGAGAGAGCATTTGGTTTCTCAGTCCCAGGGTGTGTGGCGGAGGAAGAAAAATGGAAAAACAGACAGAAAGTCGTTCCGAGGTAGAGAAGCCGTCCCTGTTTCTGGGAGGAAAAATGAATTATGAAGATGCCTACCGTAAATGTATTACTTCCCACAATTCCATCGGAATTTCAATTGGCTCCTTATTTTTATTCATTTATGGAGTATAGCTAAATTACTAATAAACCTAGAAAGGAAAGTCATAGAAAAAGAAAAATTAGTTAAGGAAGGCTAGACCATCCCTATACAAAAACATACTGTGTGGTCCTATGATATTCTAACAGCATGCACTAGTGGCAAGGAACAGAGTGGCAGATTATCCTCATCTTAAAGTTATATACGTATACTTAACCCTTGTTGGAGGGGGTATTAGGACGTGAGTAATTGGGAGCAACAGGTATCCCTGTAAATAATGGTCAGCTGTGGTTGAATTCGGTCTAGCCCAGTGGCTGGCAAACTCATTAGTCAACAGAGCCAAATTTCAACAGTACAACGATTGAAATTTCTTTTGAGAGCCACATTTTAAAAACTTAAACTATATAGGTAGGTACATTGTTTTTAATTAGGGTACTCCTAAGCTGGCCTTTGCTAAAAACTCAAGGGCCAAAGAGCCGCATGTGGCTCGGGAGCTGCAGTTTGCCGACCACTGGTCTAGTCTCACAGGCGGATCTGAGGGGCCGATAGCAATCCTGCATCTTCCCTGACCAACTGCCGTGAGGGGAGCAGCAGGCCGGGTGCTTGGTCAGGCCGGCGGGTGGTGACCGTCTCTGTGTGTTTGCAGGTGGTGGACCTGCTGGTGTCCATGTGCCGGTCTGCCCTGGAGTCCCCCAGGAAAGTGGTCATCTTTGAGCCATACCCCTCCGTGGTCGACCCCAACGACCCTCAGATGCTGGCCTTCAACCCCCGGGTGAGTAGTCCCCGTCGCTCACATGCTTCCTTCATCGGCTGAGGAGTAGGCTCCTTGCTTTCCCCTCCTGTCAAACCGCCACCTCTCCAAGCAGGCAGTGAGCGCCTGGGCTCTATCCGTCTCGGAACTCCCACCCTTTCCTGCTGATGGGATTTGCTGCCATCTTTCCCATGTCCTGCTGCTTCCCTGTCCTTCCACCCTTTACACACTATCACTTCCTGCCCTCTCACCCTTTACACACTATCACTTCCTGTCTTCCCACCCTTTACACACCATCACTTCCTGTCCTTCCACCTTCACACACCATCACTTTCTGTCCTCTACCCTTCACACACCATCGCTTCCTGTCCTCCACCCTTCACACACCATCACTTCCTGTCCTCCACCCTTCACACACCATCGCTTCCTGTCCTCCACCCTTCACACACCATCACTTCCTGTCCTCCCACCCTTCACACATCATCACTTCCTGTCCTCCACCCTTCCCATCACTTCCAAAGCTTCATGAAACGAAACCCATTGAAATCTCCCACATTTTGATCTTACACATCCCAAATATGCGTGGAAGGTCGATGAAGAGCTGTAATAAATATTGCTCAAACATTGCTTAATAGTGATAATGGTCAGTATGATTGTTTTAATGTCATCACAGAGTTTTTGAGATTCTAACTTATATAACTCTTTATGAGAATCATGTATAAAAAGGACAAATGTTCCTTTTCCTATTATATTTTTGGTATAGCCCCTTGCCCTCCCCTCCTCTCGGTTATCTGAAGGTTAGTGGTAATTCATTTCATATTGTTGATTGCTGGCATTTCTTGAGAAAACTCTTATACATATTAACAGATATGAGGCAGAACTCTCCTGAAATAAAAATTTCAAATTGCATGACAGTTAAAATTGCCTTAATTTCTCTTACTATTTATATCAAAAGCATTTTTCTAGAAGCAAGGGCCAGATAAAATTTCTGGGGGAGGTTTTCTGTCCTCATTGTATATTACACACTGGCATTGTGCTCACAGGTGGATGATGAGTGGATGGACGGCGGTGTTTACACACCTGTCCGTCATCCCCTTTGGGGAACAATCTTCGATCAAATGGGAATAAAGCAAAATGAAATTGTGAAACTCCAAGTGGGTTTTTGTATTTTAGGAGGATTTGATGATGCTTAATGTATTCATCCGGCCTTATTATTTTAGAGTTGAAAGGCAGAATCAGGAACCTGTATCTTTTTGGTAGTTACAGCTCCTCCCCTCTTGGCTGGCCACGGTTCCAGGTGCTTCATGGGGCCTGGTGTTGCTTTCTTTCCTTCCCTCTCAACTCGGTTATCAATCCTGCGTCCTTAGACCAGCTTCTTAGCCTTCCCTTTACGTGCACAGCACGGTCCTTATGGCGAATTCACGCTCAGAAATCCTCTGTTTCTCCGGTAACGTGCAGACTTGCAAATATACTGTTTTTTCCCAACCCCACAGAAGAAGAATTATGATCGAGTAATGAAAGCGCTGGACAGCATCACGTCCATCAGAGAAATGACACAGGTCAGTGTGCCGCTCGGGCTTGGGCAGCTGCTGGCCACGCGGTGCACGCAGACTCTTCTGCTCCATGGGAAGATGACTAAAACCATAAACGCACTGAAGCGGTGTTTTAGTTCAGTCACACCGGTGTGGTGTGTGCTGCCTCTGTTGGAGTGCGTGGCGGGATATCAGGGGTTAAGTCTGGCACCCTCTCCCTAGACCAGTGGTTGGCAAACTCATTAGTAAACAGAGCCAAACATCAACAGGACAACGATTGACATTTCTTTTGGAGAGCCACATTTTTTAAAACTTAAACTTCTTCTAACGCCACTTCTTCAACATAGACTCGCCCAGGCCGTGGTGTTTTGTGGAAGAGCCACACTCAAGGGGCCAAAGAGCCGCATGTGGCTCAGGAGCTGCAGTTTGCCGTCCACTGTCCTGGACGGTCAATTTTAACGAGTGGGAATGCTTTCAAAACATCATGTTGATGTTAAAAACAAATATCTTACCAAACTTAAGTTGCAGGTAAGTGTTTTAGACGTGATAAGGAGTCTCTGGAGACAGCAGAGTCCTGCGGATCTGAGTTCTGACTTTGGCCTTCAGGAGAGAGGCTTTGGTGGGGAAGGTGGTGAGCAGGGACCGGGGTTCGAGATGAGAGGCTGACACATCACTCACGGGGCTGTGCGGCCGGGCACTGGGGAAGTGCATGCCCGCGACTGACTGCGCCTGGGCCCGGACCACGATGGGAAGAGAGGCTTCAACCTCAGCGTTGTAAATAGGAGGAACCATCTCAGGGGCAGCCACGCATGTGACGGGTTCAGGGTCAAGGCTGGCACACCCAGAGACGCCCGAGGCTGCTGAGAGTTGTTACCTGGGTCACTGCCTCCAGGAGGGGGTCCAGGGCTGGGGGGGGGGGGGGGGGGGGGGGAAGACAGGCCTTGCTCCACCCCGCCCCCACCCCGCCATGGCCTCTACTCTCCGGACACGTAGAGTAGTGTGCCTTTACGTTCCCAACGTTGGTTATGGATTCTCTGGGTAGTTATTTATTTATTCATGAAGCCCAACATGCCTCCACTCAGTCACAGTCCGTGCCGGCGTCCGCAAACCGGAGCCTTGAGCTCCCACGGCGCTGCCTGCTCAGTGGGCGCCTTGGCACTGCTCCTGCCCCGCCTTTCTGTTCTGTGGGCTCTTTCCTAAAAAGCTGTCTGTGGAAGGAAATTAAACAAATGCATGTCCCCCGGAGAAGAGGACCCACTGCAGCATGTCACTCAGCTAAGGAGCAGTTCTGGTCACCAGGGACTCTGTGCGGGATGTTTATACTCCACCCGGACCCAGGCCACTCTTGGATATAAAATACCCGCACCCCGGCTCTGGGCCAACTGTGGGCCAGCTGTGGGCCAGCTGGGGGTCAGCTGCGGGTCAGCTGTGGGTCAGCTGTGGGTCAGCTGTGGGTCAGCTGTGAGTCAGCTGTGGGTCAGCTGTGGGTCAGCTGTATGTCAGCTGTGGGTCAGCTGTGGGTCAGCTGTGGGTCAGCTCTGGGTCAGCTGTGGGTCAGCTGTGGGTCAGTGGTAGGTCAGCTGTAGGTCAGCTCTGGGTCAGCTGAGGGTCAGCTGTAGGTCAGCTCTGGGTCAGCTGTGGGTCAGCTGTAGGTCAGCTGTGGGCCAGCTGTAGGTCAGCTCTGGGTCAGCTGTATGTCAGCTGTGGGCCAGCTGTAGGTCAGCTGTAGGTCAGCTCTGGGTCAGCTGTAGGTCAGCTGTGGGTCAGCTGTGGGTCAGCTATATGTCAGCTGTAGGTCAGCTGTGGGTCAGCGGTAGGTCAGCTGTGGGTCAGCTGAGGGTCAGCTGTGGGTCAGCTGTGGGTCAGCTCTGGGTCAGTTCTGGCAGGAGTGGCATCCTTTATTCTGGGTCAGTGGAGGCAGTGGAGACGGCTGAGTCGGCTCAGGAGGTCCAGTCCGAGGCCGGCTTTGCAGAGATGTGGCCCGTGACCTTGGGCATTCGCTCCACTGTCTGATGCCTCCCCTCCTGCGCCGTTAAGACGGTGAACATAACTGCACCCTCCCCCGGGCACTCACTGGGGCACTGTCAGCTTTCATGGTCACAGTCCTCAAACCTTTCCACACAAACATCCCGCTACACTGGCCTGTTCCCTAGCATGGACCATCCTCCGTACGGACCTGCAGTGTCACCGACAGAGCGCCCTTCGTTCTGGGCCAGGCAGATCCTTAAATGCTCGTAAGAGAAGGGCTTTTCTGAGGTACACTTCGCTTTTTTTTTTTTTCCCCATGCAAACATCTACACCTAAGTCACCACTTCACATCTGAGCTAGAGTCGTGGCTATTGCAGGTTCTGCTTCCATGTTAGCAAAACCCTGTCACTGTCCAGAGAGTCGGCCCGGGAGGGACTTCAAGGAGCAGGACAGATGTCACTGGAGGCCTGCGGCCGGAGCCAGCTCACCTCCAGGGGACAGAGGGCTGGCACTTACCAGAGGCCACGCCGGGCCCAGGGCTATGGGGAGACAGAGAGAGGACTGCGGGGCAGGGGGTTTGGGAAGGGTAAGTGAGAATTACTGAAAAGTCAGGCCGGGTGGGCTGGTACAACACAGCGCTTGTGGTGTGGCAGCCTCGGGTGTCCTTGAGCGAAGGCTCAGCAGGGCCTGGGGTCACCCTCAGGGCCTGGCCAGGGGCAGGGAAGCCAGGCCCAGGTCTCAGCAGGATGTGCGGGTAAGTGCGGGTGGGCGGGGGGGAGAGGGGGGGGAGCGGCTTGGGTGATGGTTGCTGTTGCCATGTCACCTGCAACCTTCCACGCATCGCTAGATTGAAGCACACCTGCCTGTTCACCTCGAGTCTCCTTTTGTGGAGAGGGAAGGAGGGAGAGTGTTGAAGGATGATCAAGACGTGCACTGACTTTTTCAGGCCCCGTACCTGGAGATCAAGAAGCAGATGGACAAGCAGGACCCCCTGGCGCACCCCCTGCTGCAATGGTATCGCATGTTCATCCTCTTCCCGAAAACCGCCCTTTCTCCGCCTGCTGGGGGGAGGGGGCGCGGAGATTGAATTACAGAGCCGCAGGCCTTTGGGGCTGTGGCTGCCCCCACGCGTCTCCCCGACTCGCTGCCATTGGACCTCGCACATCACTGAGGGGCAGCGGGCTGTCGGGGCCCGGTGCCCAGTGCGCACGCAGCCAGGCTGACAGCAGCCTGTCCGCAGTGTGAGGAAGCGCAGTGGACAGGATGACATGGCGGATGACGTGGTGTTCGGTTCACTTAGCTTTCCAGCTAACTGGGGGCTGCGTGAGGAAACCCCCTCACGGGGACCACGCGTCTGAGTGTGTGCGGGTTCAATGTGCTCCCCCACAAGGACCGCACACCTGTGACCAGCGCCTCCTTGGAGGGCAGCGGGGAGGAGCCTGGTCGGGAGCCCTGGAAGGAGGCCCGGCTGCGAGGGGAGGCGGGTGGGCACCACCTTGTACAACGCCATTCAGACCCTTTGCCCGCCGGCTGCTCACATTCACAATGAGAACCATAGCATCTCCTCTCCGCCTCAGGGAGGGGAGGGGGGATGTACGTACGTGTCTCTTTGAGATCTCGGAAAACTCAGACTGCGGGTTCCCCACAGTTATCATGCAGTAAGGCAAACGGAAAGACCACGAGAGGTGGGTGCGAATGGTGTTTACTCCATGCTCCAGCCAGAAAGGGTTTTAAAAAATATATATATTTTATTTATTTTTTACAGAGAGGAAGGGAGAGAGATAGAAACATCGATGAGAGAGAAACATTGATCAGCTGCCTCTTGCACATCCCCTACTGGGGATGTGCCCGCAACCAAGGTACATGCCCTTGACCGGAATCGAACCTGAGACCTTTCAATCCGCAGGCCGACGCTCTATCCACTGAGTCAAACTGGCTTTGGCAGCCAGCCAGAAAGTTTTGACAGAATAAGGGAAAATGAGAGAAGGCAAAGGACCCCAGTTACCCTGGGGTTCTGATAGCTTCACTTTCCCTTAGCCAGGATTTTACTGGACACGTTGAGCTTAGTCTGATAAGATGGAAACAAAGATTAGGTTTAGAAATCTCCCTTCCTTGAATGGTTTATGATCTGTTATTAAAGTCCTGAGTTCAGCAAAATAACACATAGTTTTCATTTTCATTTTTAAAATTCTCATGTTGGTCATAGTCACATACAGATCTCAGCTGTCTCATCTCTTTTCCCTCTGAAGTCAGCCTGAGTATTTGTGACCCTTCCCTACGGCTTGTCAATCCTCTTTCAAGGTTAAAAATATTACCAAAATGTTTTTGCCATTTTCCCTGATTATTATTTTGTGAACATGAAACAGTTCTTTCAGATACCTGAATTTAACTTGCTCAGCTTCAATGTCTAGCTGAATAACAGTTTGTATGTAAATCATTGTATATGCCAGCCTAAAGGAATTCTCAGGTCCTAAAAAAAAAAAAAAAGGTCTTTATTAAAACACATTTTTAGTTAGGTAATGTTGGGAGGTGCAAAGGAAGCAGATGATGGATCAACTTCTGATCTTTGTAATATTCAGATTATCATTATTTGAAAGTATATTCAGGGGTGTTCATTTTGTCCATTGAGATTGTGATTGTAAAAAATGATTTCTTAAGCTTTATCGAAGAAGTGACTAGAGTATTATTTCCCAGATTAAAATATCATTGTGTTATATACGCTCTTTAAATTGTTTCAGGAAGCAAAGTGAAACGTGCGATTGAGTGAAATTATGACCCCGTTTACTTTACGTCACAGTGAAAGCACGTGTCAGCCCCATGCCCGCGCAGGAATAAAAACGCCCAGTGTGTTCGCGAATGCTATTGGCTGATGGGCTTCTCATTGCTTTCAGGGTTATCTCCAGCAACAGGTCCCACATAGTGAAGCTGCCAGTCAACAGGGTAAGCTGCCTTTTCTCACGCGCCCAGGCAGGGGAGGCCCAGGCAGGGGGAGGCCCAGGCAGGGGAGGCCCAGGCAGGGGAGGCCCAGGCAGGGGAGGCCCACGTAGGAGGAGGCCCACGCAGGGGAGGCCCACGCAGGGGGAGGCCCACGCAGGGGAGGCCCACGCAGGGGGAGGCCCATGCAGGGGAGGCCCACGCAGGGGAGGCCCAGGCAGGGGAGGCCCACCCAGGGGGAGGCCCAGGCAGGGGAGGCCCACCCAGGAGGAGGCCCACGCAGGGGGAGGCCCAGGCAGGGGAGGCCCACGCAGGGGAGGCCCATGTAGGAGGAGGCCCACGCAGGGGGAGGCCCATGCAGGGGAGGCCCACGCAGGGGAGGCCCAGGCAGGGGAGGCCCACCCAGGGGAGGCCCACGCAGGGGGAGGCCCATGCAGGGGAGGCCCACGCAGGGGAGGCCCATGCAGGGGAGGCCCACGCAGGGGAGGCCCACGCAGGGGAGGCCCAGGCAGGGGAGGCCCACCCAGGGGAGGCCCACGCAGGGGGAGGCCCATGCAGGGGAGGCCCATGCAGGGGAGGCCCACGCAGGGGAGGCCCACGCAGGGGAGGCCCACGTAGGAGGAGGCCCACGCAGGGGAGGCCCACGCAGGGGGAGGCCCATGCAGGGGAGGCCCACGCAGGGGAGGCCCAGGCAGGGGAGGCCCACCCAGGGGGAGGCCCAGGCAGGGGAGGCCCACCCAGGAGGAGGCCCACGCAGGGGGGGGCCCCGGCAGGGGAGGCCCACGCAGGGGAGGCCCATGTAGGAGGAGGCCCACGCAGGGGGAGGCCCATGCAGGGGAGGCCCACGCAGGGGAGGCCCAGGCAGGGGAGGCCCACCCAGGGGAGGCCCACGCAGGGGGAGGCCCATGCAGGGGAGGCCCATGCAGGGGAGGCCCACGCAGGGGAGGCCCACGCAGGGGAGGCCCAGGCAGGGGAGGCCCAGGCAGGGGAGGCCCACCCAGGGGGAGGCCCAGGCAGGGGAGGCCCACCCAGGAGGAGGCCCACGCAGGGGAGGCCCACGCAGGGGAGGCCCAGGCAGGGGAGGCCCAGGCAGGGGAGGCCCACCCAGGGGGAGGCCCAGGCAGGGGAGGCCCACCCAGGAGGAGGCCCACGCAGGGGGAGGCCCACGCAGGGGAGGCCCACGCAGGGGAGGCCCATGTAGGAGGAGGCCCATGCAGGGGGAGGCCCGCACAGGGGGAGGCCCGCACAGGGGGAGGCCCACGCAGGGGAGGCCCACGCAGGGGAGGCCCACGCAGGGGGAGGCCCACACAGGGGGAGGCCCACGCAGGAGGAGGCCCACGCAGGGGAGGCCCACGCAGGGGGAGGCCCACGCAGGGGGAGGCCCACACAGGAGGAGGCCCGCACAGGGGGAGGCCCACGCAGGGGAGGCCCGCACAGGGGAGGCCCAGGCAGGAGGAGGCCCACGCAGGGGGAGGCCCACGCAGGGGAGGCCCACGCAGGAGGAGGCCCACGCAGGGGAGGCCCAGGCAGGGGAGGCCCACGCAGGAGGAGGCCCACGCAGGAGGAGGCCCACCCAGGGGGAGGCCCACCCAGGGGGAGGCCCACGCAGGGGGAGGCCCATGCAGGGGGAGGCCCGCACAGGGGGCGGCCTGGGTGGGTGGCTGCCTCGCCAGGGAATTAACCGGACTCAGGCCGAGGCCAGTGCTTCGGGCGGAGCTGCGTGTCTGCACCCCTCCCAGCTTTTCCCGGATGCCACGTCCCGGGGCAGGCTGACGTGTGCCTGTAAACGGAGCAGAATGAGCGTGAGGTCGCTATCACAGAGGCGGTGGGGGACTGCCATCGAGGCCTGGCCGGAGAGAGGCCACGTGTCTCTTCTCACTGCCAGCCTCTGGCTGGCACAGCCCCGCTTCTCTGAATCAGACAGATCATGCCTCCGGGCGCCTCTCTGATCTGCCGGGTCCGCTTACAAACGAGCGAACGAGCTAATGGACTCCGCTTTCGGCTCCCGTCCCCCCCCGAGAGCGGCGGTTCCGGGCTCTGGCTCTCCGCCCTCGCTGCGAGGCGGCCACTAGCCGGTGTGCTCAGGCAGCGTGTCCCGAAGGCTCTGCCTGGCCTTTTCTTTGAACAAAGCAGGAAGCGGTATTGGAATGGAGGCCATTTCCAGTTTTATGAGAATATGCAGACACAGCGTGATGGTGGTCATTTTCGCTGTTTAAGCCTCTTGAGCTAACTTTTCTTGTTTGCCTCGCAAACTCTCAGGACCGTTCCCCCAGTTGAATAGTGACCCTTAGGGAATCCAATACTGAAATTCCTAAGAAGGAATGTGTTTAGGAAGGCAGATCTAAATATAGGTAAAGTGTTGGTCTCTGGTCCATTTTCTATTCGCCTAAAGCACATGTGTCAAACACAAGGCCCACGGGCCAAATCCGTCCCGCCAGGCCTTGCAATGTGGCCTGCACCGCGCTGTCATCACTGCACTCCGCTGCGTTTCCATCACAATGACAGTTTATGACTGTTCAGTAAACCATTCGGCCCTCGATTTAGGCTGGATTTTAGATTTTGGCCCCTTCTCTGATTGAGTTCGACACCCCTAGCCTAAAGAATTGTCCTTCAAACAGGCAGTTCCATGACTTCCTGGGTATACGGGGTAGGGTTTGTGATTTTCTTCTTCGTATATATATATACTTTATTGATTTTTTTACTGAGAGGGATAGAGAGTTAGAAACATGGATGAGAGAGTGAAACATCCATCAGCTGCCTCCTGCACACCCCCCACTGAGGATGTGCCCATAACCAAGATATGTGCCCTTGACCGGAATCGAACCTGGGACCTTTCAATCCGCAGGCTGACGCTCTATCCACTGAGCCAAACTGGTTTCAGCTGTGATTTTCTTAATGAGTGGTTTTGTTAATGCGATTAATCTGAATTCACAACGGCTTGAAGCGAGCTAGCTCTAAGCTCGGTGAACTTAGAAATCGTCAGCAGCCCGATCAGCGCTGAACTGAGCCTGTTCGTTTGTCCTCCTTTCCCGGCAGCAACTGAAGTTCATGCACACGCCTCACCAGTTCCTGCTGCTCAGCAGCCCGCCCGCCAAAGAGGCCAACTTCAGGGCCGCCAAGAAGCTCTTCGGCAGCACCTTCGCGTTCCAGTGAGTGCTGGGCCGGAGGGGAGGTGGAGGGGGTGGTGATGGGGGGACGGGGTTGGGGAAGAGAGGGGTCCTGCTGCCTGGGCCGGGAGGGCGCCTCTGGGGAGCCCGCTGGCTGCACTCACTCTGAGCGCTGAGCCCTCAGCCACATCACACTCGCCTGGAAACTCACCACTTTCAGGAGGCGCCACGACCTGTGCTTTTTATAGTTTTAAAAGGTCATTGATTTCTGGTTATGCGCCCCCTCCCCCCATTCCAGCGGCTCCCACATTGAGAACTGGCACTCGATCCTGAGGAACGGGCTGGTCGTGGCATCGAACACGAGGCTGCAGGTGAGCTGAACCCCCGAGTGCGCCCTCCTTTTCTCAGGGCTGGCGCTTGGTGAGCGGCCCTGGGCTTGGTGTTACTTGGGAAGAGGAAGCGGCTCTGTCTGCGGGGGAAGGGGTTTTCCCCTGGCTGCTGGCCCTTCCACATGTCACTTACCTTGGACGGTAAGGACAAGGGTCTCAGTGTGGCTGTTTTCACATTAGACCTGGCAGCAAGCCCTTTGTCACCACAGCCAGCGGCCCTCTCCGTCCCCTTCCCATCCCCCAGACCGATGGCCTCCTTTTGTGAAATATTAACATGGGAAACCCGGCTTTCTCTCCCCCTCTCCTGGCAGCTCCACGGCGCCATGTACGGCAGTGGAATCTACCTAAGTCCAATGTCAAGCATATCGTTTGGTTACTCAGGTGAGCGTGTATTCCACGTCTGCCTTCAACACGGATTGGGCTGTGTTTCTTTATTGCTGTACATGCCAGGTGTGATTTTCCAACAGGCGACTGGAGCTGATTTGACGTATTTGTATTCCTTTTTAAAAAAATTAACATCAGAAGCAAAGCAAAGCGCACATTTTAAGATGAATGCATAAGAATCCCTTTACTTGTCTGAGAAGCTATATACGTTTTGTCAATCTCATGATCAATTTTAATTTTGGATCAGTGGTTTCTATATGTATTCTGCCCACAATTAAATACTAGGAAGTAGTCACACATATCACTTCACAATCCCTGAGTGTAATTCCATAGCATGCCAACTTCCTTGGATTATTACGTATCCCGTAGAGAAGTTTTAAGCAGGATGGAAATTGTAGGGTTAGAATAAAACACCCTTAAAATCTTCCTACTCGTTGGCAACTTGTTGGTAATATTTTGATGAAATGGCGGGGGGAAAACTACAATTAGAACCGATGGGAAGCACCTGCTGTGAGGAGTGTGGTCAGTTCAGAATAGGGGAGGGCCAGCAGATGGTTAACAACGACTCCCCTCCCACGGTGGTATTTGGGGTAATTTCTTCTTCTTTTAATTAATTAATTAATTAAGGAATATTTTTAAATGATCAGTGCCATTTTCAAAAACAAAGTTTTATTTTGTTTAAATATAAAGTCATTAGGAACAAATGAAATTTTCTCCTGTTCCATGAGTTTTTCATCTTATGTTCCTATACCTGCACATACAGTTGGTTTTGCTTCTGTGTTCGTGTGTGTGCTTGTGTGTTGTGTGCATTCATGTGTGTGTGCATGTGTGTTCATGTGTGTGTTTATGCGCTGACATTAACCAGCCCCAGGAGTGCGTCTTGGGGCCTGGACGGTGATATCCTTTGAGGAAGGGTGTGTGGAGGGTGTGGTCACCAGGTGGGTGTGGGCCAGGCCCCGGCCGCATCCCGTGGCCCGGCTCCTGCCTTGTCGGTGGCAGAGGCTGTGCTCCGGGACTGGCGCTCACCGAGGGCAGAGCCCGTGTCCGGGAGCAGCGGGCAGGCCCTACGCGCTCCGGGCTGGGAATCAGCCCACCCCCCGGGACAGGCAGGTGGAGCCACATGGCAGGGGAGACCTGGGCTGAGAAATACTGTTGCAGCGGTTTTGAAAGCACAACGTGCCAAAATAGTTGTGAAAATGTCACATTCGGAAGGCTAAGGCAGCACGGGCAATCCATGACCTAGTTCCGCGGGGGAGGAAGTAATTAAAATCAGCAGAAACCCAGCTCTGCGTCTCTGGAAAGCAGGGCACCATCAAAGCGCGTGCAGGGCCGCTTTACACAAAACCGCCTCCTTACAGAGGAGAGCGGCACAGCAGAGCATCCGAGACGTGCATTTCCTGCTTCTTACACTGTGTGTGGCTCTTTGAGGGCTCAGGAAGGGCCGGGGGTAGAAATGGGGTAAAATCTGTGAGGATGCTACTTTGTCCGGGCAGGGGGCCCGGAGCTGTCAGCAAAAATCTTGGTCTTTGATCAGGAAAATGTCAGAACCACCACGGTGAGATGGTTTGAAGGCTGGGCGTCAGGGGGTCGGGGGTGGGTAGGAAGCAGACAGTCTCCTGGGAGGGGTGCTGCTGCCCCATGGATGTTGGTCCACGGCTCTGCCCTCCTCCCGAAGCTTCTGGAACAGCAGCCACCAGCCGCGACCAGCCTCCTCGCGCAGAGCAGCAGATGAGCCTTTCAGATGAGCCCCCGCTGCTCTCTCCTCGTCTCCCACAGACAGGAGTCCGCTTCCATCTTGTCCCAGGTGTTTCCCAGTCCAGTCAAAGCTGAGACTTTGGGTGTTGTAGACAAAAGGGTTCCTATAGTTCTTCTTTGTCAGGAGAAGCAGTAAATTCTTCATGGGATGGGACATGTGTTATATATATATATATATATATATATATATATATATATATATATATATATATATATTTTCTCCCCTCCCCCCCCCCCTTTGGGTCGCCTCTTCCTTTTAAAAAAATATATCTTATTGATTTTTCAGAGAGGCAGGGAGAGGGATAGAGAGTTAGAAACACTGACGGGAGAGAAACATTGCTCAGCTGCCTCCTGCACACCCCCTACTGAGGATGTAACCAAGGTACATGCCCTTGACTGGAATCAAACCTGGGACCCTTCAGTCCGCAGGCCGATGCTCTATCTACCAAGCTAAACTGGTTAGGGCACCTTTTCCTTTTTTAACACATTTTTTTTTTATTGATTTCAGAGAGGAAGGGAGAGGAAGAGAGAGCTAGAATCACCAATGGTGGGAGAGAATCACTGATAGGCTGCCTCCTGCACACCCCCCCCTGGGGATCGAGCCCACAACCCGGGCATGTGCCCTGACCAGGGATCAAACCCGGGACCCTTCAGTCCCCAGCCTGATGCTCTATTCACTGAGCCAAACCATCCAGGGCGGTACCTCTTTCTTTATATTGTTCCCATTTCGTCTCATTCTACTAACCAAACGGTAAGAATGAAAGAACAGTCTAAATGCCTTTAAAACAAAAATTTGAGAATTTTCTTATTGTCTCAAATATCTGCAAGAGAATTTCCCATTCCTGTTTCAATGCAAAGAAAAACATGTGCCTGTCTGCTTCCTACTCCACCGGGACCTCTGAACCCCCTGACCCCCTGACCCCGGGGCCGAGGGACAGCGGCCTCACGCAACCAGACCTTTGCTGCGGTGGAACTGGGCCATGTGGACGGAGTGCATCTGAGCTGCGGGGGGCAGCGCTGCTCCTAACGATGGTGTTGCTGCTGTTTCCAGGGATGAACAAGAAGCAGAAGGTGTCAGCCAAGGAGGAGCCGGCTTCCAGCAGCAAAAGCAGCAACGCGTCACAGGTGTCTAGCACCCTGCGTGGCCGCGCGATGAGTGCTCCCCCCACCCCTCCCAGCCCGTTAGCCGCAGGGTTCCCAGAAATGCTTGGCCCTCTACGTCTGCAGAATTATTTTAAGTGGCCATTCCTCACAAGGGAACGAAACTCACCCTGGAATGCAATAACCAAAACGCCTTTTGTGCAATGAATACTCAGCAAGTGTGTCTCAGCTCCTCCAGCGAGCTGGAGGCTCTCCAAGGCCTGAGGCTGCAGCGAGGGTTAAAAATAGACCTGGCCTCTGCTCTGCGGAGCGGGGAGATGTAAGCTAGCTGTACCCTGAGGTGGGCAGCCTGCAGGTGGTAAATACGGCAGAGAAAGTCTGGGGAGGGGCTGTCGAATGTGCTGGTGTGGGAGATGGAGCTAGGATGCATGGCCAGTGATGGTCACAGGGATGTGCTGAGATCTATTTGACTAAAGGCCTGTAGGCGGGGAGGGGGGGGGAAGGAGGAGAGGGGAGTGTGTGCATGTGCTTTCGGCTGTGGGAGGAAACATTCAGGCAGAGAGGAGAGCAAACACAGAGCCCTTGTTTCTTTTATTTAAAATAGAATTTTACCAGAGGCCTGGTGCATGGATTGGTGCACCCATGGAGTCCCTCAGCCTGGCCTGTGCCCTCTCGCAATCCGGGACCTCTCAGGAGGTGTTGGAAAGCTGGTTTTGGTCCAGTCCCTGCAGGCCAGGCTGAGGGACCCCATGGGTGCAGGAATCCATGCCCCAGGCCTCTAGAATGCATATAAGATCTTTGATTAATCTCTTCCTGCCCTCCCTGCTTCCTCTTTTCCTTCTGAGATCCATTAGTCTGTTCCATGTTTCCATGCCTGTGCGTTGAGCATCTGCCCCCTGGTGGTCATTTAGCATCATAGCTACTGGCCAGTCACTTAGGCTTTTATATATATAGATTGATTTCAGAGAGAAAGGGAGAGGGAGATAGAAACATCAATGACAAGGAAGAATCATTGACTGGCTGCCTCCTGTGCACCCCCACTGGGGATCAAGCCCTCAATCTGAGCATGTGCCCTGACTAGGAATTGAACCCATGACCTTTCGGTTCATAGGTTGACACTCAACCACCAAGCTGTGCCAATCAGGCCAAATTCCTTTTTTCAAAGCAAAGGAGCATTCTGGACACATTGAAGTCCATCTGATGAATGATGTGACTCTAATTTTTTTTAAAAGAGTATAGCTGATGTAATATCTAAAAACAACCCCCATGATTGTCCACATGAGGCAAATCTGACACCCCTGTGGCTGAGATGCTATAAACATGGGTTCTGCATAGTTAGCTGACTGGGGAAACTGAGTTTAATGTTTGAGAGGCTCATACTTCCTTAATTTTATTCCCGGGGAGTGGAGATTCCAGCTTCTGGTAGAAACAGGTTTGAATTCTCTGCTGTGAGGCTGTTGAAGTGTAATTTAGCATTTTTTTGTTCACTGGCTTGGAGAGTGCTTTACCAGTGATCATGTACAGTATTAGCTGATACAGCAAATGTACCTGCCGTTCGGAAGTGTTCTAGGACATCGCTGCTAGTCTAGAGAGGCCTTTTAAAGAAATGGGAGCTTTCTTAGCGACTCTTGTTTTTTTAATTATGACCAAGTGTAGTGACTGCCCCATTTTCACTCTGATTTTTACATTCTTTTGGGGTGTAGGCACAGAAAAAAGGACAGCAGTCCCAGTTCCTGCAAAGCCGGAACCTGAAATGCATAGCCTTATGTGAAGGTAAGTGGGAGTCCTTGCAAGCCTCCTGGCATGCCCTCGTCGTGTCTGCATTTAGGAACTGGAGTGCATTCACAGGGTGCTCGTAACCGAGCAGTGAAAGCTCAGGAGCACAGCTCAGGAGCAGGGCTGGCCGGGATCCGGTCAGAGCTGTTTTACTCCGGCAGGCCCCTCCGCAGGGCGGTTCCAGCCGCCTGGGCCAGGACTCTCCGCTCCTGTGAGGGCCCGTCTCCTCTAGTTGGCCTTGGGATGTGAGATGTTATAGAACATGGCACAGGTGGAGCGAGCGCGGAGAAGCTAACCCGCTGGGCCTTGCGGTTCCTGAGCTGAACTTGTCTTTCTGTCCTGAACTTGGGACAGGAGAGAGACTGCAGGCAGCGTGCAAGCTCATGCACTTTTCCTTGTTCTTGGTGGAAATCTGACATTGGGTGAGAATGCACTCCTGTGCCGGGAGCTTTGGAGGCAGCCGTGAGCGGTTCGGTGGGTTCGGGCCACGTGCTGGTTCCCTGGGAGCCTGGCCGCAGCCTGCACCCCGAGGGCCCGCCCTGCGCCCTGCGCCCTGTGGAAGGCGCCCGGCCACGTCCCCCGCGCCACTCGCGAGTGCTGATCGGCACCCCGGAGCCCTTGTTCACAGGTCTCCGTCCCCGCCCATGGGAACAGTTCCAGGGGTAACTGCGTGTGCTTGTGCGTTTGGGGTCCTCAGGGCGGGAGGCGGTGCCTTCGGTTAAACCCTCCGCTAACGGGCCCTTCCGCCCGCAGTGATCACCTCGCCGGACCTGCACAGGCACGGGGAGATCTGGGTGGTGCCCAACACCGAGCACGTCTGCACCCGGTTCTTCTTCGTGTAAGTGCCACGCCCCACCGCGTCCCTTCCTCCGCCGGGAGGGAGGCCGCAGGACGGCTCCGCCGCCGCTGTGTGACACACGCCATTCTGTGGACTCCGGTTTTCCTGCTCATGTAACACGCTGCGAGAAAACGGATATTTACATGCTATTCGCTTGGGAGAATGGGAGGAAAATATCATCTTTTGAACCATCTGTCTGTGTTTATGTATGTGTACGTGTATATGCATGTGCGTATGCATATGTGGGCATATATACATATGCACAGGTGCCACGTGTAGATATATACAGGCACGTGCACTGACATATGCAGTCTTTGCTTTTATGTGTTGACAAATATTCGAAGGTGGAATGGAAACTATAGAAAGCTGCTTACCTTCCGTGGAATACAGGTTGGCACGTGGGCACGGTGTTGTTTTTCCTGAGGGCCGGGCGGACACACAGAGGTGTTCTTCCCCCCCCATCGCATCCCCCCGTCCCCCCAATAGACAGTGAGCGAAGCCGAGCTGCTGACAAGTCACCTCCAGCCTCGGCTCAGATGTACGCTGCTTCGCTGACCCACAGCCGATGGGGAGCCAGGATTTACTAGAAAACCAGGATGACTAACGTTCTGGCCAGTAAAACACGCGTCTTTACCTGTTCTCCCACAAAGCACCTGACTGGATCCCGACCCCGCGAAACCTTCTCACCTTAGGGTCTCTGGTTCTTCCCGGGAGCGTACTGCTTGATGTGAGGACGTATTTGTAACTGGCTGTGTACCATGTACGCCATTGTTTCCCTTGCAGTGGTATTCCAGCATGGAGGGTCCTGCGATTACATGTATGTATACAGTCCTCTGTGTATGCGTGTGTGCACCACTTGTATGATAAGAGTAGCAGTGTGGCAGGCACCCTTGGTCAGGGCGTGGGGTTTGAGCTGACCCCGGTGGTTCCGCGGGCGCTGGAGTAGTGGGCTGGGGCCCCGGGTTGCGTCTCCCTGGCTGGCTCTCTCGGGAGGGTTGTGTACAGCGAGGGAGAGACGTGACTCTCCGAGCCCGGGCTCACCTGCTCATATCTGTTTGGAAGCACTCCCTGCTTCTCTAAAGCTTCCGTCTCAAAGTCATTCCCAGGAGCTAAAATTAATCCGTTGCCTGTTCTGCGCTGAATGTTATCATGGAAGTTTATAAATTCATTCTTGGGAAATTTTTGTTGCCCAAGTAAGTTTATGTGAAGAGGTGAACTATCCTCTGAGATGTAATTATGTCTTTCTAAAGGATTCAATAATTGCTGTCTTTCAGCTTGCCTTGTCATCGCGGTGGCTTGGCTAAACTTAGCGTGCGTGTGTGTGTTCCTATACACCCTCCCCCCCACACAAACACACACACACACACACACACACACACACGCGCGCGCGCGCGCGTGCCTTCTTACCAGGAGGAGTGTATCAATGAGATGTTGTCTCAGACATGCATCAATAATGTTATCTCAGACTCGCATCTATGAGAACGTTGTCTCAGACTCGCATCTATGAGATGTTGTCTCAGACTCGCATCAGGGAGACGCCATCTCAGACCCGCAGAGCCGCCCGCGGTCGGGGAGGGCTCGCTGGTCCCGGGCAGTGAGCAGAGGTGGGTGTGGAGAGGCGTGGCCGCAAGAAGTGAGCGCAGCAGAGCATCCAGGATCTAAGGAGCATGAACTCGACCCGAACTTCATGAACCGTCGTGGGCCTGCCTGCTCAGCGCGCTCCCTGCAGCTCAGGCGGACGTGGTGGGGGATGAGAAGTTAAACTTTCCCAGGAAGGAAGGGGAGGGCGGGTGCGAGGCCTCGCTGGTGTGGAGCGGCACCAGCTCCTCGGTGCGCGGTGCACAGGCCCAAAGTCACTGTCTGCGCTGTCGCTTCCCGGGCTGCCTTCCCGGGAGCAGACAGCCTTTCCAGCAGCTGGAGACGCTCCCTGAGTCCCGGGCCGCTGCCCCTTGTTCACGCGCCCCTTTGTTGTCTCTGCTTTGTGTGCAGCTATGAGGACGGCCAGGTGGGCGACGCCAACATCAACACGCAGGAGGGAGGCATCCACAAGGAGATCCTGCGCGTCATCGGCAACCAGACCGCCACTGGCTGAAGGACCGCAGGCTCGCTCAAGGGGTCGGAAAGCCTTCCTCGGGTTCAAAGCTGGGTTTTGAACTGAAGAAGAAGAAGAAATAACTTATTGTTATTATAAACAAAATTAATCCTTTGAATACTGATTTTTTTCTTAGTATTTCTAAGTATCTCATTCAATACCTAAAACGGTATGAAATTTACCAATTGTAGGGTTATGGAATCTAGTAATAAACTTACAGCAGCACTTAAACTGAAGTTTGGGTTGCTCACACAATAAACAGATTGAAAAAGCAGTTTTGTGCTGATATTTTTATATTAAACTCTTCAATTGGAAGTTTGGTATTATATACCGACACTTGAGGTCACCAAAATCGCATTGAGAATGTTTTTATAATGATGTCTAAATCTCTAAGATACTTTGCAATAAGTAAAATGATGTTTGCACATTCTGACGTGCTATATCTATATCTATCTATCTATATATATGTATATATACTTAGTGGTATGAACATTTAACTATTTTGAGGAGGGATGTTTTTTATTCTGTTAATTTTTCCTTATACGAAAACAGTTAGTCTTAGATGCAATGCTTTGCCCAAAAGTTTGTAATATACATATCTATAGACCCATGCATCAGAATGTGTGACTATGCACATGTGTATGTATGTATGCACATGTGTGTTGTGACAACAGGTGGCGTGGCTCCACAATTCTACTCATTCAGTGACGACAAATAATATTCCGTAAACAGTAAATCTGGACAGAAACCAAGATCCGAGCCAAACTTACCACTATTCACTCACTGGCAGTATTTGCTAACTATTTCTCTATTTGTTTAAAGAATGCTTCCTTTGGTTAAAATTCAACTCGTTAATGATATTATGGAAAAGTCTTAATTTGGAAACATAGCCACCCCTGGCGGACTAAATCTCTATGGAAATGATCGCATGTATTCAACAAAAGATCTCAAAATTACAACAGTATCTATTTTTTATTTCTTACAGCGGAACATTTTTAAAAATTTATTTAGACCACGCCAGCATTTTTATAGTTTTTCATCTAATACCTCTGCATATATATTTTTTTCATATTGAGAAAGAAGATAACCTTTGAAATTTCTTTTATATTAAAAGAACACAAAATAGGTTTATGGGGAACAACGCCACCAGCGCCCGTCCTCCTGTACGGGTCACGTGATTGCCAACCACATGTCTTGTTCCTTTGGGTCCTGACATTGTCCTCGGTCGTTACAAGTTGTCACTGCCTGTGTCTCATTTTCCCACGTGATGTCTTGGGAACAGGCCGTTCACGGGAGCAGTTTAACGATCGTGTCTGCCACTCTATTCAAACCCTGAATCAAGGCTCAGATCTGATTCTAATTGACTTAGAAAAAAAAAATCGCGTGTAGGCGTTTGCAAGTATAACGTTACCACTTCTGTGTTTATTTCCTGGGGCATAGGCGGCGAGAAAGCAGCGGCCCTCCACCGGGTGCAGGGGTGCTGTCGAAGTGTGTAGGGATCTTTCTTCTTCTACTGTAACTCATTGATTTCTGCCAACAGAGACTTGACATGGCCGGGATATTAATCCTTGTGACACCATCCGCTTAAGACCTTGATCTGTGCTGAACCCAGAGTGAGCCTGGGGATAATGTTGGCCTTTGAGGGCCCAGAGGCGGTGTCGAGTTTAGTCCTGTGAGCGATGCTGAGGACTGGGGGAGGGCCAGAGGAGTCCCTTGGGCTGTGTTTTAAAAAAGTGTTTTTAAGCAACAAGATTATTTTGCCCCCAAAATTATTTTGATGGGATGTTTTATATCTGATACAAATATGAAGATGCAATAGCAGGATTTGGAAATCGAGATCCTGGGACCACTGAGGCACCTCCCCAAACTCTACAGAGCCTCCGCGCATGGTTGCAAGCCACTGGCCTAACCCAGTCAGGGCTCACTGCACAGCGGGGCAGCCTGGAAGGTGTGTAGCCTTAGAATCTGACCTGCCAGCATAGCTTCAGGACTGGAAGACTAGAGAGGGGAGGAGAAGCTAGCATCAGAGACACTTGTGCCAAGTTAAGATTGAAAGTCGGTTCACCTCTCAGAGCAAGGAAAGTATTAGATCCTTTTAATGCCTAATGCCATGATAGGCAATAGGCACCTTTTATGATGACAAAATGAGGTGACTTCTAATGATAATGGAATGGAATGCTATTGCCAGGCAGAATGACACCTTTTAAGTCCCCCCCCCCCAAAAAAAATTGTCAGATCCTTTGTAAGCAAATATTCTAAGTGGAGCCTGTCTTTTCATTGAAATTTTGGTATCTGTATGCTACAGGATACTGATGCCTACCTTAATTTCTGAAGAATTTAATTTTAATAAATACCATGAGTAAATGAATACCATGCTTCTAAGATCGAAGCAGGTCCTTACAATGTAGATGTCTAAACATTATTGTTGTCTTGCCTTGATTCAGCCACCCCATTAAGAACTATCCATTGACTCGATGATTCCAAACGTGATACTGTATTGTATGTTTATGATTATTTGAAGTCTGTTCACCGCTGCTTTGTAATAGTTTATTAATTGTGTAGCCATTACTTCTTAATACAAACCCGCTGAGCAAACGCAGTCATTTCATTCTTGGAGTAAGGGAAGAAGAACCTCATTTATTCGTTCTATTTCTTTCTGCCATTACTGATTTTGTAAGCATTTCACTATGAATAATTTGTCCTCTTTTATCATTCAATGTATTAAAAATAAAATAGTTGGACATTGGGGAAGAGAAAAAGCAATAATATATTATTACTATAGAACGCACTATGGTAAGGTACTTTAGTGGTGCCTTAGACTGCATGACGTTGAAATGGTTTGTGTTTATGTTGCTCAGCAAATCTCAGTTGTTGGCCTTGAAGGTGGTTTTTAAATTTAAAATTTTGAATAGGAATACGAAATTTCAATATAAGATAGTAAGCTTAAGGGCTTACTGCCAAATACTATGTGATGTAAGAAACCAACCCAAGCTGTTGTTAAAGCTTGGAATATTTCTCATGGAAGAGTTTAGAAAAGAAATTCTCAGAGGGGCTCCCCTTTGCTTAAAAGACAGGAAACCTTTCCTATGCAAGTCTATTGTCATTGGAAGAGTTTTAGAAGGACTTGTTACCACAATACCACAACTTAATTAGGATGTGGGGTTTCGGAAAGTTTTAAGGCAAAAATCTGTCATCCTTGTTAAGTCTGGGTGACTTCAGCAGGCAGTGATTTTGTCTAAGAGGCCACTCAACCAAGGACTGTCTAACTTCCAAATGGATGGCTCTCATGGTGGCACCTGAAGCACATTTTTAAAATATTATGATGTTATTCTATTGTCTCACTGAATTCTTCATCATAACACTACCTCAAGACAAATGATAGACTGTCTGAAGATAAATTGAGTTTCCAATATAAGAAAGAAAAGGAGTTTTACAAATAGAAGCCATCAAATTATTCAATAGTCAAGACCATACTAGACAAAGATATTGTTGATTGCCCCATGACAGCACAGTAATACAGATATTTCAGTCACTGGTGATGAATGACATAGTTAACACCCAATGAGTTATGAGAAGGGATTTAAAGCTGCAACATTTGAAAATAATTAGTTCTCTTTAAGATTGATTTTTTTACATGGGCCAATTTTACATCCATCACCCAAAGCCACAAATGTGCCCACCCTAAATAGCGAGAGGATTAAAATACCCAATTCCTATGCCAGAATGGCAGGCAAAACATTCAAGTATTTTTGGCATTGAATGCCTGCTAAATTTTTGTCCATTATATGTCAATTTGATGTACATTATGACCCAGTTAATTTTTCTTGGGGATTTTGTAAACACCATGGTATATTAGGATACATTTTTTTTGTAGGTCAGAAGAATTTCAAGTAGTTTTTAGACAAAACAGACCCATGAGTGTGAAGAAGCTGTGTTGAAGAATAGATTCCATTACACATTTACCAGCGGGTCAGAAAAAAAAAAAAAACACAGCGCTTATTTACATAGTCCACATAATTTAATGTTCTAAAAATAATTTCTTCCATCTGCTCAATACTTAATGTATCACTTGAGATTTTAAAATATGCAGCCACTCCTTTCTGTAAACACGAAGATATGCCTGTGTTTCTTTAACTATATAGCCTTTCTTTACAATAAACTTCTTGACTTTTTTGTGCACAAGATAGCATTGCAACCTGCTCGGTAGCCTTCGGTGCCTTAGAGTTATTATAAATATTTAACAATATGTACATAATGTAAATACTGCCAAGAGATCACCAAGGCCAAGTATTTTCTCTATTCACTTTTTATTGCACTTGCTTTCTATTGCTATGAAGCCTCTTTTATCCAGCTTTGTAATAGTCCGAACGTTGTAGCCGATGTAAATGTTTACTTTCAATAAATCTGAATTTGTCTAACACGCACGGTATATGTGGGCACTGCTTTGGAAAGTCGCGCAGGCTCGGAGCCTCCTCAGGATGAATCTTGCTTCTGGGGACCAGATACTTGATGTTTTCGACAAACTCTAAAAACCAGGTTGCCCTGTTCACTTATGAAATACCTTTAAAATAAGAGGGAATAAAAGAAAAGTATCTTTTTTTTTTTTTTTTGCCAGTTTTCTCCAAATCATTGCTATAGATTTATGGATCGTGTGAGTACCACTTTAATTTTAGATTATGTCCAGAAATACAGAATGGAAAAGAAAGGTTTTTGTATTGTGTCCGTGTGCTCTGTGTACGGACGCCTTGGCACAACACCAGAAGGAGCATTTCCAAGGAACCCTCCTGCGTTTCCTAAGCGTTTCTGACTTGGTTAATAATCGGGGAGTGATTTTTTCATAGATCTCACTGACTGAATAAGACATTGGTCCATAAATAAACACAGCTCTCTGAACACATTAATAGTGAATGTTTATGGGGAGCTAAGTTTATTCTCATAAGTCAAATAATGTCTTACTTCTTTTACATTTCCAGCTAGGAAACCAGAGGTAGCCAATGCCTGTTTGTGAGACTTGATTTCGGTTACTCCACAAACGCTTGTTAAAGGTCTGGCCCAGTGATCGGCAAACTCCTCAGTCAGCAGAGCCAAATCAACAGGACAACGATTGAAATTTCTTTGGAGAGCCACATTTTTTTAAACTCAAACTTCTTCTAACGCCACTTCTTCAAAATAGACTCGCCCAGGCCGTGGTATTTTGTGGAAGAGCCACACTCAAGGGGCCAAAGAGCCGCATGTGGCTCGAGAGCCGCAGTTTGCCTACCACAGGGCTAGTCAGTCTAAGGACCCTATTCCTTACATAGAGATTATTCATCTTTCGCCTTGGCCTTAAGGAGCTGTCCATGTATTTGGGGAAAGAAGACAAATGCATTTCTATTGACACCACTTTGCATGATCTGTTTGCAACAAAGTCTCAGTAATCTACTTGTCCATCTGCCTTCGCCCTGTACACGATGCACTTCATATATTTTTTTAAGTTTTAGTTTTTGATTCCTCAACCAAATTTTTGATGACAGCTTTTTGATTTGGTGGCTCAGCCTCATTGACTGACGTCTACACCTGTCACTCCTGGGCCACGGCTCCGCTCCTCCTCAAGGGGCTGTGCTGGTGGGAGTGTGGGCCCAGGCCCCAGGTTCACCTACAGCTGCAGAGCCAGGTTTTGTGGGAAGCCCACGCCGAGAGCCCCTGAGAATCTGTTGGATATTCACTTGGCGTCTGTGTCTGCTCTCCAAACCCAAGTCCCTCTGTTTAATGATCTCACATAGTAGAGACCTGTAACTTCATCCAAGAAGGACGGAAAGTGCTTAGTTTAAAGATGATGTCTTCTTGAATGCCAGGTAAGACAAGATTTTGATTAGATGGGGTTTGCTTTATGTAGCACTTCATAATTCAGAAGGTTCTTTCTGTAGATTGTCTCATTTTCCCGACAAAATAGCTCTGTGACATGTGTCAGCAGATGTCTTTGTCTCTTCCAGTGGCTTGCCAAGGGGGTCAGGGTCACTAGGGTCAGGGACACTGAGTCTCATCTCTCCTGTGGAATAAGCCGGGTTTATTATCGCTGACATCTCGGCGCGGCAGCACGCACAGCGAATACAGAGTCAATGAGGAGACAGTCTGATGGGGACTGGGTAGCTACCATTGCACGGCTGGCCTGGCTTTATTTTAGAGCCAGCGAGGAGCTAAGTCCGCACTCTGTGCCGGCCAATGGGGGTTGTCAGCCTTCGTGACAGTGGGGCTGGGAGCACGTGATGTGACAGTGGGGCTGGGAGCACGGGGCAGCTGCACTCAGGAGGATTTCCAAGGCTGGCAGAAGCAGAGAAATGGCAGAGACCGATTTTTGTCATTCTGACGAGGGTACACGGGACTGAATGGGGACCTGAGGGAAAGGAGAGGTGGAGGGGACAGGGTTTAGGATGAATCAGTGAATGAGGAAAGCAGACCCAGGGTGTGTGAGACTTCCCTCTGGGTTTTTCCTGGAGATCAGTCACGGTTCCTCTGTTCCTGTTGGTTTGCAGGGGCGTGAGGACTGACTGAAGGCAGTGGCTGGGGACATTACAGCGAGGTGCAGACAATGAGAAGGCTGATGGACCTGCCTGCTTTCCCTGATCACCCCTCCTCCATGTCACCAGACACAGGCGACTTCTGGTACCTGATAAATGTTGGGTGCTTAGTAGATACACAAATAAGTAAACCATAAATGTCTGCCTGATGAAGGTGGTCTTGAAATAAAGTGACAATCAATCTAAACAAGTGTCCAGCAAGGGGTATATAACAAGCTAAAGCCATCATCATCATCGTCATCATCGTCATCATCGTCATCATTGTCATCATCACCACAGTGAGCTCCAGCTCCAGCTCCAGCTCCATCACCTGCAGAAAAAACGGGACCCTTAGATCTCGATATCATCTACCCTGTCACCCTTGAAGTTTATATTTTCATCTTCCCATTATTCATCTTGACTTTGGATCAAGCAATCCCTGGATTGGAAGGTCATTTTTTACACAAAAGAGTGTTCAAAAAAGTGGTGACTAAGTCAGTGCTACAGGAGAAGGACAAAGCACGCCAGGAATTTGGAGCAGAAAAACATCGTTTCTGGCCGGGTGCTCCAGAACATATTCATGTACTTGAGGGTCCATGGGCTTAGCCTTGAATTATGGATAGATTTGCGATAGGCAGGCACTCAAGGAGAAAGATTCTGAGTCATAAATTGAAGAAAGCTCTACTGCTCCTCTGCTATATATCAGAACCACAACGTTGACTATGCTGAAAGCCTACTACTGTGAAGAAATACAGATCCCAGAAGTTAACCAGGAAATGCATAAAGAATAGAAACGTTCCCAACTACACAGCCGGGAAAAGTAAGTCAGACGTCACAGACGAGTTACTGTGTGCAGTGAAATTCGGGTCCGTTACAATGTGTGCATTGCTGGAAGGATGCAGGCTCTCCAGAGGTAATCTGTTTCCCTATTGACCTGTAATTATAGGTAATTACTTAGTTCCATCACTGATTCATTTTTATTGGTAATGAATATTAGTACTTTAGCTTGAAGTATTGTCTGCCATGTATGTCAAGTAGTTAATGCAAAGGAACTCTTAAATATGCTGAGGAAGCTCATTATTTAAGGTAATTATTTAGCAAAGCAATGACCCTTTGGTTATGCATGTTACTGACATTAAATTATACATTGGTCCTTTCAGCCGCCCTTCCCCGGGGGTCCGCTCAGCAGCTCCTCAGCTGCCCACGCCCAGCATCTCGCCCTTCACAGGCACCACAGGATGAGACGTGCACCTGGTCGTGGTTCCGGCCACTCCTCACTTCTCCCGGGGCCGCCTCAACCCCAGCGGGGAGAGGCGTCTCAGGAGCTGAGCCAGCTTCAGGGAGCGACAGCGGCCACCTTGTCCTGGAGGACGTGCTGTGCCTTAAGCGGCTGCAGGATCCTCAGAGCACACCGGCCTGTCCTCTCCCGCGGGCAGGCGGGCTCCAGGCCAGTTCCCCTCGCAGCTTCTGCGGCACCTGGGCAGGGGGTCTCCGCTCGCCCGGATGGAGGGGAGGGAGGTGGGGGTCTGCTGCCATCGGCCTCCTGCTGCCACAGGTGGGATTCCTGAGTGGCTGGGATGGGGGCGGGAGGGGTGGGAGGGGTGGAAGGGGTGGGAGTGGGAGGGATGGGGGCGGGAGGGGTGGGAGCCGAGGCAGGCACTCTGGCAACTGCTCCTGCGTGATGCCTCTGAACCCTCTGACTCCCCAGCAGGGACTGGGGGTGGTGGTGGTGGGGTGGGGTGGAGGGCTCCTCTGGCGGGCAGGGCTGCCGCTGGTTCGGTTTGCTTTCCCGCGGTGCCCAGAGGCATGGAGTGCTCGTTGTCTGAAGTGCCTCACGCTCACCGGGTTAGAGAACACACATGATGGAGGTGGAAGCTCCCCCGGGGCTTCTCGCTCTTCCTTCCACACCTTAAGCCAGTGGTCGGCAAACTGCGGCTCTCGAGCCACATGCAGCTCAAGAGCCACTGCTTGCCACTCTGTTGACTAATGAGTTTACCGACCACTGTTCGGAGACATAAGAAATGCCTCCCTTGTGCCGAAACCGTGTGGCTCAGTGGATAGAGCGTCGGTCTGCAGACTGAAGGGACCCAGATTTGACTCCAGTCAAGGGCATGCACATTGGTTGCAGGGACATTCCCAGTGGGGGCGTGCAGGAGGCAGTTGTTGGTTCTCTCTTATCGATGTTTCTAGCTCTCTATCTCTCTCCCTTCCTCTCCGTGAAAAATCAGTAAAATATATTAAAAAAGAAAAAAAAAAAAGAGATGCCTCCCTGTCACAGACCTGAGGTTGATCGCTGCCTTAAGCCACGGGCACATGGTGCGAGGCCTACGTGGTGTTTTCACTGTTTTGCTCGGTAAGAAAGGGGGCTGTGTCCGAGGGGGGACCTCGGTGTGCGCCTGGGTCCCGGGAGCTGCAGGCAGAGTCAGTCCTCTCAGACCCAGGCTCACATCGCTGGGCCCGGGCAGGGAAATGCCGGGTATGGAGCGTTGCCTCATTGCTGCCTGTGTTTTTATGGCCACACAGCGCAGCGGTGGATTACAAATAGCTCAAACGGGACAGCCCTTGGTGCACGGCAGTGTAGTGTTACCCGCAGGCCCAGGAGGGGGAGTGCGAGATGGAAAGACGGGGCTGGTCCCTCGGAGCTGGGTGGGACACTGGCACCGCAGGTCCGGTTCCTGGGCTGCTTCCCCAGAGGCCGCTGCTGCCAGGAAGCCAGCAGGATTGCCTCAGACGGTGATGCTGTGCGGACGGAGGACCATGTCTGTGCGAGGAGCTCAGGGCGCTGACCGGCGTGTTCACGAGAGAGAAATGGGTGGCAAAGCCCAGGCGCTGTTAGCAAGCTGGGAGCAGAAATGCATGTAGAGAGTTACCTGACGAAATGGCA